TAAACACACAGATGTATCATCAAATGTGTTTACATCTATAGATTAGTGTTATATCTACCTATATACTACGTTATAATGTCACGGTACATCGTGTTTAAAGAAAACAAGGGGCTCAAAGTGAAGCATTTCTACTGTATTTTCTTAAGAAAATCTATGTCAGAAGTGTTGGGTCCGACTTGGCCCGGGCTGTCAAAATCAACTTAAACCTCACAGATGTATCATCAAATGGATTCACATCTATAGATAAGTATTATATCCACCTAAATACCACTTTATAGTGTCTCAGATCGCTGTAATTAAAGAAAACAAGGTGCTCAAAGTGAAGCCCTTTTCCCTCTACATTCTCAACATAGTCTCTATCAGAAGTGTTTGGCTTGTGTTGGGTCCGACTTGGCCCGGGCGGTCAAAATCAACTTTAAACACACCAGATGTATCTTCAAATGTGTTTACATCTTTGGATTAGTGTTATATCTATCTATATACCACTTTATAATGTCACAGTGTATCGCATTTAAAGAAAACAAGGGACTCAAAGTGAAGCCCTTTTCCCTTTACATTCTCAACGTAGTCTCTATCAGAAGTGTTTTGCTTGTGTTGGGTCCGACTTGGCCCGGGCTGTCAAAATCAACTTTAAACACACCAGATGTATCTTCAAATGTGTTTACATCTATAGATTAGTGTTATATCTACCCATATAACACTTTATAATGTCACGGTACATCCTATTTAAAGAAAACAAGGTGCTCAAATCAAGCATTTTTACTGTATTTTCTTAAGAAAATCTATGTCAGAAGTGTTGGGTCCGACTTAGCCCGGGCTGTCAAAATCAACTTTAAACACACAGATCTATCTTCAAATGTGTTTAAATCCATAGATTAGTGTTATATCTACCTATGTACCACTTTATAATGTCACAGTTTATCGCATTTAAAGAAAACCATGAGTTCAAAGTGAAGCCCTTTATCCTCTACATTCTCAACATGACTAGTATTATATCTACCTATATAACACTTAATAATGTTGCACGATAACTCAAAGAAAACTGGTCTGTTAAAGTCGAGCACTTTCACTGTATCTTCTCAAGAAAATTTCACCAAATGTGTTGGAGTGAAGTATACTCTTTAAAGTGAAGCCCTTTTTTCATGGTATGTGTCTGGTCGGAAAATCCCTTGCTTTTACCTAATCCGTCGCGGGTTTTTTCAAGGATCATACTCACAGGGTAACACTTGGAGAAGGTAAGGTGAGACACTTTGCATTTCAGGATAAACCTCTCCCTCAACCCTGCTTAATGCTTCTATTATCTATGAGTGTGTTTAGGAAAACAGGATTATCTGAGACAGTTGTAATCTGCCATACCGCGAGAATACGTGCTGCATCTCCGAGCAGCTCGTTCTGTGAAAACACACTTCTCCTGAACCTGACTTGGACCACTCAGTATTATTGTCGTGATGGTTAAAAGACGCCACAAATTAAAGTTCGCTAGATATCTAGCAACTTTGTTTTATACAAGCAACCCTTAAAGCCCCCTCTTGGGTTGCACACACCACTTTCGCACCTTTCGGAAACACATTAAATGGCCTGGCCGGGCCCGTGTGCGAAATACGCATCAGTCGGAAAGCGCACATTAAATCTCCCAAGTATGTAAGTAAGTAAGTAAGTAACTTTGTTTTACAGTCGTGATGTTTAAGATTATTAACCACCCGGGACAAGTCGATCCGACAGGTTGCATGATACGCATGATGCAAAAGGAGGTAAGCGCAAGTACGGTACAGAAACTGAAGTAAGTTGGGCTCTCTTAGTTTTCTGTATGCTTACACATCATCACCTCATACTTGATTTAATTTAGTTTCTTATTCTAATACTCCTAATCTTTGTCAGTGGCCAGTGAAAGTATCACAAGGGAAAATTCCAATATATACAAAATATACAATTTGTATATATGGTATATCCAAAAATATACAATTTTGTATATATGGTATATCCAAAAATATACAATTTTGTATTTATGGATAGATTTTACCACTGCTTTACTCAGTTCCTTTTTACTGGATTCTCACAATATGTGGTTAATATTGAAATTTACTAATAATACCGGACAGTATTATTGCATGTAACAAATATACTTTAAAGCTATATTCATTATGACAACTATCTTTGGAGTGTTATGAAATAATTGGCATTTATTCATGTTGACAGCATTTTACATAATAAAGAAATAGAAGATTTCAGCAGACTTTTGTAACTGTTAGATATATAATACGTCCGCCTACTGTTTACAAATAAGATGATCTATACATACAAGCAGTTCAGAGTAGCTTTAAACAGTGACAATTTAATATATATGTTTCTGTTATGTCATGGTATGTTGATTCTGAATCTAAAATATTGCTTGATATTGTTTGCCAAACAGTTGTATGCACTGTCCATCGTGTTACTTCTACTTAAGTATATAAAAAAGGATGTTTGTTTAGACATGCGTTCATTGTAAACAACGCCGTGTTTTCGTTTGCTGGTTAGTTTTTACAGGTCAAAAGCAAAGTTAATCGCATTACTTTCGTGACGCATTTTAGGCCTGTCATACAGTTCCTGAAACAAATATATCCAATACAGCCGATGCAAGTCAATCATATTTGGCAAGACTAGATTACTGCAGTTATATATTTAACAATATAATCAAAAAATTGTTTTTATTTTTGTAAAATATGTTCATTTCAGAAACTAGATGTTAGTCCAGCCAGCGGTCTAAACTCGCATTAATTTGGTTACACGTTTCATGATTTACAGAATTCGTGAAGAATATGTAACAATTAGCCACAATTAGAGCCTTTGGTAGGAGTAGAGGGAATGATAAGCATAGACTTGCTAAGTATTTTATGATATTCATGATAGCTCAAAAGAAACTTTGATTTATGTTTTTAGTACACCCCAGAAAGAGGGATAACACAAGTGATATATTAAGATGACATACAACTTATACATACTTACGTGTATAAACTACTATCAAACAGTGAGGATAACAGGTGTTTGCATAGAGGTGAGCGTATCCTGCACCACCGGTGGAACAAACACACGCAAAGGCAAGTTAGTTGTTAAATCCGATTAGCACAAGTCAAAACAGAGAATTTCATCGAACATAACTCCATTTGCTACTTCTGTGGTAGTCACCAATCAACCCATTTATACTTCCAAAAATAGCTTTAACCCTTTTAAAGCTTTTGAGAAATTCAACTGTATGGGTTTGGTCTGACAAAGCAAGAAGCACAAATGGGGCATGTTTCGGCCAATGATTAGAGTATTCTTGCAAGTCTAAGGGTCCAACAGGAGTTATTTCTGCGACATGCTATTTCAAACCCCAAAATTCAGAGGGATATATATGAAAAGAAAAATTAAAATAATACAAATATAAATTCCTTCCAGGTGAAGGCTATCACTTGAAATCAAATTAACAAAGCAGATTTTAGTCAATGACACATGTCTTTGGGTAGAAGTTCATCTCTGTCACCATGCTATGGTATTTCTGGAAAGGAAAGTTAACTTACAAAGTTGTAATATACGTGAAAGGCTTAATGTTGCTGATTAAGCGCAAAGATATAAACTCTAACTGACTGCTCAGTAACATTCATGTAATATTAGTAATATTCAAATAAGTGTACTTGTTCTAGGCGTGTGTGACGTGGATACATTTATCTAAGCGTATAGAAGAAACGTCAACAAACTTGTAACTATGTATAAAATAATAAATAAGCCATGTCCTTCATATGTAACTGATCTTATACCACCAGCTGTGTCACAGAAGATCAGTTATAATCTCAGAAACCGCCATGATTTTGTAGTTCCATTTGCACGGACATCTACGTTTAAAATGTCTTATATTATAGATACATTAGGCCAATGGAATAATCTATCATCAGGAATCAGGGATAGTCCGTCATTATCTTATTTTAAAGCTGTCGCATCTGAGCAGCCTACATCACCACCTATGCATTATAATTGCGGTGAGAGATCTACAAACATATTGCACACTAGATTGAGACACAATTGTAGCACACTAAATTCCAACCTGTTTCGTGTTAATTATCTGATACTATTTCCTGTAAATGCGGAGCTCCTTGTGAAAATTCATTCCATTTCTTCTTCCAATGTACCTTATATGATGATATTAGGGAGACATTACTGACAGCTATCGATAATCTTGGAGGACAAAAAACTCTAAATAGTATTCTTTTTTGTGATCCAAACTTAGATGTTTTCCTGAATACAAAAATATTCTTGTCTGTACACAAATTTATAGAAACGACTAACAGATTCAGTAGCTAGCATATTATTGCTTCCAAACCGTTAATCATTAATATTGTTAAATCTATATACAACACTAACATGTATAATATTAGCATATGTATGAGATGCACACTGTCTTCACTTTCCAGCACATTGTACATATCCTTCATATGAGCACTGTATATAAATTTATATTGCGCACTATGTTTCCACATTGTGATGCTTAAACTGTAAATTGTTAATTTTCATTACGCAATATTATGTATAACTGTATATATGGAGAAGGTGGTAATAAGTGCTGCACTTGTGCCCAATCCCTTTGTCTTTTTGGACAATACAATATGTTTAATAATAATAATAATAATAAGCAACCAATGTTTTATGATCAGGGTCCATTGGTATCCCTTCAGCAAGTGCGAATCAGGTCCTAACACATCTGTTTTGTCATGTATCACGCGCTATACAGTCGAACTCCGCTTATCCGGACAATTGCTTTTTCTAAAATGTTGTCCGGATAAACGAGTTTCTGGATATCTGAATACCTTGTTATCTGACCAGAAGTCCTCCCCCTACCTCAATTCTACCGAGGCATATGTGAAATGAATGGCAAAAATATGATTTATGAAGGATCGACCAATTACTAATAAAATACATTGTGCTATTATTGAAACGGCTGAAGAAATGCATATGTAGCCTAGTTTAGACTATGCACTTGTTTTGTGTACAGATACGACGGCGAGGTTGGGGCAACCTGACACACATGAGCATTAATAGCCATGTTTACCTGTACTAGTTGAGAGCCAAGGTTGAAGTCATTCATGTGTGAAAAATGTTGTCGAGGCATCTGTACATCTTCTTTGTCGAATTGCATTATTAAAGTACATCAAGATGAGACATCATATACATTCATATATATTTGTTGAGCACGAAACCTTGAAGTGTAGCCAGGACATCTCCAAGAAACTAAGGGCGGCCATGTAGCCTCAATATCTTATAAATTATATCACTGAACATAGGTCAAGGTGTATTCAGTAAACAAAGATCTGAAGGGCTGTATTTCCTTCATCGGACACACTATGCGTTCATCACAGTCTGGACGGATTACGGATACGAACGAACTAGCACTTGTTTGGCCGGTAGGTTTTGTTAAGATTTGTTATCTTGTCTCTCTACCCTCTACTTCCTTAATCACAATTTAAATCCTAAATAGACTTTCGGGCCTAACACTGTGGCAATTTTAGACCCTCTGTTTCTGTATTTACTTTAGCTCATTTCCCCTAAGGTTTACACATCTCATAAGACTAAGTCATCAATGATGTCAAAGCTGTCTGACATGTTTCTTATGAAGAGTTCATGAAGCTAAACAATGTCCAAGTGACTTAAGCACAAAAATACGCGAACACTTCTGACATAGAATTTCTTAACAAAATACACTAAAAATGCTTCACTTTGAGCACCTTGTTTTCTTTAAATATGATGTACCGTGACATAATAAAGTGGTATTCAGGTAGATATAATACTAATCTAAAGATGTGAATCCATTTGATGATACATCTGTGAGGTTTAAGTTGATTTTGACAGTCCGGGCCAAGTCGGACCCAACACAAGACAAACACTTTTAAAAAGAGACTATGTTGAGAATGTAGAGGGAAAAGGGCTTCACTTTGAGCCCCTTGTTTTCTTTAAGTACAGCGATCTTAGACACTATAAAGTGGTATTTAGGTAGATATAATACTAATCTAAAGATGTGAATCCATTTGATGATACATCTGTGGAGTTTAAGTTGATTTTGACAGCCCGGGCCAAGTCGGACCGAACGCTTCTGACAGAATTACTTAAGAAAATACAGTAAAAATGCTTCACTTTGAGCACCTTGTTTTCTTTAAATACGATGTACCGTGACATAATAAAGTGGTATTTAGGTAGATATAATACTCATCTAAAGATGTGGATCCATTTGATGATACATCTGTGAGGTTTAAGTTGATTTTGACAGCCCGGGCCAAGTCGGAGCGAACACTTCTGACATAGAATTTCTTAACAAAATACACTAAAAATGCTTCACTTTGAGCACCTTGTTTTCTTTAAATATGATGTACCGTGACATAATAAAGTGGTATTCAGGTAGATATAATACTAATCTAAAGATGTGAATCCATTTGATGATACATCTGTGAGGTTTAAGTTGATTTTGACAGTCCGGGCCAAGTCGGACCCAACACAAGACAAACACTTTTAAAAAGAGACTATGTTGAGAATGTAGAGGGAAAAGGGCTTCACTTTGAGCCCCTTGTTTTCTTTAAGTACAGCGATCTTAGACACTATAAAGTGGTATTTAGGTAGATATAATACTAATCTAAAGATGTGAATCCATTTGATGATACATCTGTGGAGTTTAAGTTGATTTTGACAGCCCGGGCCAAGTCGGACCGAACGCTTCTGACAGAATTACTTAAGAAAATACAGTAAAAATGCTTCACTTTGAGCACCTTGTTTTCTTTAAATACGATGTACCGTGACATAATAAAGTGGTATTTAGGTAGATATAATACTCATCTAAAGATGTGGATCCATTTGATGATACATCTGTGAGGTTTAAGTTGATTTTGACAGCCCGGGCCAAGTCGGAGCGAACACTTCTGACATAGATTTTCTTAAGAAAATACAGTAAAAATGCTTGACTTTGAGCCCCTTGTTTTCTTTAAATACGATGTACCGTGACATTATAAAGTGGTATTTAGGTAGATATAACACTAATCTATAGATGTAAACACATTTGAAGATACATCTGTGTGTTTAAAGTTGATTTTGACCGCCCGGGCCAAGTCGGACCCAACACAAGACAAACACTTCTGATAGAGACTATGTTGAGAATGTAGAGGGAAAAGGGCTTCACTTTGAGCCCCTTGTTTTCTTTAAGTACAGCGTTCTGAGACACTGTAAAGTGATATTTAGGTAGATATAACACTAGTCTATAGATGTAAACACATTTAAAGATAGATCTGTGAGGTTTAAGTTGATTTTGACAGCCCGGGCCAAGTCCGACCGAACACTTCTGACATAGATTTTCTAAAGAAATACAGTAAAAATGCTTTACTTTGAGCCCTTTGTTTTCTTTAAGTACAGTGATCTGAGACACTATTAAGTGGTATTTAGGTTGATATTATACTAGTTTATAGATGTGAATCCATTTGATGATACATCTGTGAGGTTTAAGTTGATTTTGACAGCCCGGGCCAAGTCGGAGCGAACACTTCTGACATAGATTTTCTTAAGAAAATACAGTGAAAATGCCTCACTTTGAGCCCCTTGTTTTCTTTAAATACGATGTACCGTGACATTATAAAGTGGTATTTAGGTAGATATAACACTAATCTATAGATGTAAACACATTTGAAGATACATCTGTGTGTTTAAAGTTGATTTTGACCGCCCGGGCCAAGTCGGACCCAACACAAGACAAACACTTCTGATAGAGACTATGTTGAGAATGTAGAGGGAAAAGGGCTTCACTTTGAGCACCTTGTTTTCTTTAAGTACAGCGTTCTGAGACACTGTAAAGTGATATTTAGGTAGATATAACACTAGTCTATAGATGTAAACACATTTAAAGATAGATCTGTGAGGTTTAAGTTGATTTTGACAGCCCGGGCCAAGTCCGACCGAACACTTCTGACATAGATTTTCTTAAGAAAATACAGTAAAAATGCTTTACTTTGAGCCCTTTGTTTTCTTTAAGTACAGTGATCTGAGACACTATTAGGTGGTATTTAGGTTGATATTATACTAGTTTATAGATGTGAATCCATTTGATGATACATCTGTGAGGTTTAAGTTGATTTTGACAGCCCGGGCTAAGTCGGAGCGAACACTTCTGACATAGATTTTCTTAAGAAAATACAGTGAAAATGCCTCACTTTGAGCCCCTTGTTTTCTTTAAATACGATGTACCGTGACATTATAAAGTGGTATTTAGGTAGATATAACACTAATCTATAGATGTAAACACATTTGAAGATACATCTGTGTGTTTAAAGTTGATTTTGACCGCCCGGGCCAAGTCGGACCCAACACAAGACAAACACTTCTGATGTAGACTATGTTGAGAATGTAGAGGGAAAAGGGCTTCACTTTGAGCACCTTGTTTTCTTTAAGTACAGCGTTCTGAGACACTGTAAAGTGATATTTAGGTAGATATAACACTAGTCTATAGATGTAAACACATTTAAAGATAGATCTGTGAGGTTTAAGTTGATTTTGACAGCCCGGGCCAAGTCCGACCGAACACTTCTGACATAGATTTTCTAAAGAAAATACAGTAAAAATGCTTTACTTTGAGCCCCTTGTTTTCCTTTAAGTACAGTGATCTGAGACACTATTAAGTGGTATTTAGGTTGATATCATACTAGTTTATAGATGTGAATCCATTTGATGATACATATGTGAGTTTAAAGTTGATTTTGACAGCCTGGGCCAAGTCGGACCGAACACCTGTGTGACTGTTGAGAGTATAGGGAGAAGAGGTCTACTTTAACCAACGTGTCTGCTTTAAATACGACGATCAGTGACATTATAAAGTGGTATTTACTTATATATTGAACGTTCCTATACATATAAACACTATGCTCACAGATGGAAATTAGTATCACGATAGCTAGAAGTATTTGATACGTTTCAAATCTTACTTCGTTTAACGATTGCTCTTTTACATGTTACCAAGATCAGCGACGCTTACACACTGCTCCACTTTCTGGTTGTCAAGCGATTTACTCCGAATTACTTATTTATGGTGCACTTTTTTGTTTGGTGATTGTTCATTAATGTCATGTGTGTATGTTGCACCAATTATATGTAGGTATGATCGCCGATAATGAAGTAATTAGCCAGTAACACTTTGGCGCGTCTTGGCCCGGCCCGACTTTTAGGCAATGCCGTAATATATCCCTTATACCCTGCGTCGAAGCATCAAACCGCACGTTGTCAACCTCGGATCAATCGAACGTCTTTATTTGTATATCAATTTGTTATAATTCTTTTACAGTGACATATAATCCATATTCCATAACATATAATCAATATATCCGTCCATATTCCTTAACATATAATCCACATATATATAATTCTTTTACAATGACAGATTAAAACATTTCAGAAAGATAAATTCGTTGTAGCTGTATCACTCGGGGTACATGTGGTTTATGCGTCCCTGGTTAGGTGTTATGCCACGAGCCGGAGGCGTCAAGTTTCATATATTGTAATGCTCACCTTGCAATTGAGATGGCACACGTGTATCTCCAACATATCCGTCCATATTCCATAACATATAAACAATATATCCGTCCATATTCCATAACATATAACCAACATATCCGTCCATATTCCATAACATATAATCCACATATCCATCCATATTCCATAACATATAATCAATATATCCGTCCATATTCCATAACATATAATCAATATATCCGTCCATATTCCATAACATATAAACAATATATCCGTCCATATTCCATAACATATAACCAACATATCCGTCCATATTCAATAACATATAATCAATATATCCGTCCATATTCCATAACATATAATCAATATATCCGTCCATATTCCATAACATATAAACAATATATCCGTCCATATTCCATAACATATAACCAACATATCCGTCCATATTCCATAACATATAATCCACATATCCGTCCATATTCAATTACATATAATCAATATATCCGTCCACATTCCATAACATATAATCGATATATCCGTCCATATTCCATAACATATAAACAATATATCCGTCCATATTCCATAACATATAACAAACATATCCGTCCATATTCCATAACATATAATCCACATATCCGTCCATATTCCATTACATATAATCAATATATCCGTCCATATTCCATAACATATAATCGATATATCCGTCCATATTCCATAACATATAAACAATATATCCGTCCATATTCCATAACATATAATCCACATATCCGTCCATATTCCATAAAATATAATCCACATATCCGTCCATATTCCATAACATATAAACAATATATCCGTCCATATTCCATAACATGTAATCAACATATCCGTCCATATTCCATAACATATAGTCAACATATCCGTCCATATTCCATGATATATAATCCACATATCCGTCCATATTCCATAACATGTAATCAACATATCCGTCCATATTCCATAACATGTAATCCACATATCCGTCCCTATTACATAAGATATAATCCTCATATCCGTCCATATTCCATAACATTTAATCAACATATCCGTCCATATTCCATAACATATAATCAATATATCGATCCATATTCCATAACATATAATCCACATATCCATCCATATTCAGTAACATATAATCCACATATCCATTCATATTCCATAACATATAATCCACATATCCGTCCATATTCCATAACATATAATCAATATATCTATCCATATTCCATAACATATAATCCACATATCCATCCATATTCCATAACATATAATCCACATATCCGTCCATATTCCATAACATATAATCCACATATCCATCCATATTCCATAACATATAATCCACATATCCGTCCATATTCCATAACATATAATCCACATATCCGTCAATATTCCATAACATATAATCTACATATCACCCATATTTGACGTTCCATACTTCCAATCATGTTCCATTTCCATGAATGTTTTATGGCCATTTTCAATGACAAATTGCATCATTTCCTTGTGTCTCAATGTAAACGGAAATTAAAATAGCTTCAAAGGTGTATATAGTTCATTCAGTTGGGGATTGTAAGTATAATATCAGTATTTTCCATCCCCAGACAACATGGGGGCGGCTAGTGCCACTGCAGGCAACAAATACCAGTCATCGACTGGGTTGTTAATCGTAACCTATGTTGGTGACGTCACAAAGGCAGTGGCAGATGGCATTGTTGTCAGCGAGGGGAAATCATTTCGGGGAATGGGATATGTTGCAAAAACCCTTGTTAGGACGGACTCAGAATTCGACACAAATCGCAACAAGCTGATTCAGAAAGAAAAAGCCAATTTCACACCATGGAGGGTGTACACAACTGGGAAGTGCGCCAAGTTCCTATCGGTGTTTCATGCTATTGTCATACCCCGGGGAGAGAAAGAACCAATCCAGGAGTGGAAGGGGAAAATGGCCTCATTATACAAGATAATACTCCAAGAAGCTGAGAAGAAGGGGATCTCTATCCTGGCGGTACCTTTACTAGGCTCTGGTAAGACATTAATCTGAAAAGTACAATGTAAAGGGATGTGGTGATATGTTTCTATGTGTTTATCCTAAATGACCGTCTCCACCAATGACCGACATGTCACGTCTCCATATTTGTTACTTTGGTCTCGTTCAGCATTTCAATATCCCCAAATATGCTCGTCTCAAGTCGCATGTGTGTTTAGGGTAAATATTAGAGACAAAACCATTTCCTTAATCTTAAGAAACTTCTGTTAAAAGATTGTCCATTAATTATTGTTCGATTTCGACTGTAATATAAGCATGTGTTGAATATGGATCGCTGTCAAATGGCGATGGCTCCAGGTGCTCCTAAAAGTTTAAATGATCTGTCCCGAAAAGCTAAAAACTCTCCATGCTACAGACATGCATCTGAAAACATCTGCAGGAAAGGTGATTGCGCTTACCGCGTTGCACATCATGTATTGTGCGGGGGCACGGGTGACCCAGTCGTCTAAAGCGCCGCAAATCGTTGTGCAGAGTTGCATCCCTTGGATACCCCAGAAATATGATTGTGGGTTCGAATCCCGGATCGCCCCGGCGATGTTTCTAGGTTTGTCAGCACCATACCTGTGCTCTTGGGTTTAACCGAAGTGGTAAAACGTCTGAGACCTGCATCACTTTCGGGCTTTCCTCCCACATTAAGCTGACACTTCGTGATATACCTGGAATACTGTTAAAAGCTGCGTTAAACCCAACATACTCACTCATGTTTTGTGCACCCAACTAAATAAATCAACTAGGTTTGTTTTTCTTTCTAAAAGCAATAACTATGACTTTTGGATGCGAATGTAACTGTACATGCATTTTATGGGCAACAGTATGCATATGTTAAGTGACCTACGTATCCTATGCATACATGAGAGCAGCAACACTCAGAATTGGAGATATTTGTGATGTTTATTTGTTTGTTTGTTGTTTAACGCCACACTCAACACTATTCCAGCTATATGACGGTGATATGTAAATATTTGAGTCTGGACCAGACAATCTAGTGATTGACATCATGAGCGTCGATCCACGCAATTGGGATCGATGACATGCATTAACCAAGTCACCGAGCCTGACCGGATGGATCCCGTTAGTCTTACGACAAGTATAGTCGCCTTTACGGTTTTGTGATGTTCATGCTTTTTGTAAAGTAAACGTTTGTTTGACTAAAGCCAAAGCCTCTGAATTGTCTAATCGTTTTTTCCAGGTAAAATCAAGGGAAAACCAGCAGACGCTGTTTAGGTGGCAGTCCATGCTATGTTCTCTTTTAAGAGAAAGTCTCTCGTCAAGGTACTGCTCGTATCAGACAGAGAGGACATTGTTGACCGGCTGGCTACTATGTGTGCCTACACCAGCAGTGTGAAAGGTGGAAGACAGTTTTCTCAACCCTCATCTTTAAACGCGAAATCAAAATCAAGACTTGGTGGGGGAACCGATAGCAGTTGGTCAAGCCTGAAGAGAAAGAATGGAGACAGATCAGATTCCAACAGAAACAGCGATTACAATGGTACATGTGACGGTGGAATGGTACTCTGTAGTGGACGACAACTACCGCCACGCCCACAAAGTAAGGGTCAGCCACCATGTCCCAAAGGAAATGGTAAAGGAAAGATAACTACCACGAAAAGAAATCCATCATCTTCCGGTAGACCTGACTCAAGAACAAGCCACAGTGGCAGTGGGAACAGTCATGTCGAACGTGAGTATAGTCACAGAGAGAGAAGAACATTGTATGACCAGGATGTCCAGATGGAGAATCTGAAGACGAGACCAGAGAGAACACGGGGCGGTAGGAACCATCATGTCGGAAGGGGGAACAGTTACAGTGGAAGTGGGTACAGTCATAGTGGGAGAAGCACGTGGTATGACCAGGGTGACGCCCAGGAGGAGGAACATGATCTGAAGACTAGACCAGACAGAACACAAGGCAGTGAACTGAAGAGGGCCAACAAGGCACAACATAACGATGAGGATGATGATGAGAATGTGGTGAAACAAAGGAGACTTGCTCCTCAAAGACGTAATTATGAAGACGAAGATGATGATGAAATTAATGATGATGATGATGAGGAAGAAGAGGAGGAGGACACATCAGAACAAGAAAATATTTGGGGACATGTTTGTGGTAGAATAGAAAACCAGGAACAACCTAGAAGAGAACTTGCAACAATCTCAAACGAAAGTGCGACAGGTGCGATATTTTACACATTTATCAAACGTTTCTTTTAGTTAGAAAGACAACGTGTCATTAAATGTTCATACATAATATGTTAATACACATTTGTTTCAGTTTCTGCGCCCATACCTCGACCATCATCCCCAGAGGATGAAATGAAGGAACAACTCTCCTGCCCGGTGTGTTTAGATCTGTTCACTGACCCGGTCATACTGCCCTGTTGCCACTCTTTGTGCAGTGAGTGTGCGGAAACCATCCGATCCCCAAAAAGCTCCTTCAAATGTCCTATGTGTCTGGCTGTTGTCCAGAATGGCCCACTTCAGAGGAATTTTCACTTGGAAGGCACGGTGAGTATCTACAGACGACAGCGGAAGATAAGCAACAGTATGAACTAGTGCTGGCAAAAATGTTGGTGTGACTGGAAAGGTTATAAGATAATCTACACTTAATAGGAATAGGCTTGGATTGTAATAAATTTCAGTCGGACATACAAATACTACAATGGTGTCTGTCAAATACTTGATATAAGAATATAATAATACTTGTTCATTATATTACATTGAGTAAAAACGCCTGTCTACATGTTATTCATATATTTGTGTGCTTGTATTTGTGAATCATGTAAACTGCCGGGTAAAAGAAAGTTTATAAAAATGAATTTGACCAAAGAATTACAACGTTATCAAAACGTTACTAGGCTGAAAGCAGTGTCTGAAACACTGCAAACCTAAGGTCGAAAACACAAATATGATACCCATACAAAAAAACAACATCACCATCGAATAAGCAATTCTTGCTTGTTTTATTTTTAGCCACCATCAAACATGGGTGTATACTTTCTTTTGTCTGCTAGTATATATTGGTTGGTTACGTTAGCTTGTGTACTTCAATAACGCAATAGTAATGCAAAGCAACACTGCAGAATACAGATTACAGTGCACACGTTGAATAATGTGAATGTAGTGTTGCTTTTGATTAGTTATATTTACATGACTTTATTTAATACACTGTATACCAGTATATGGTTTCTTTTATCATATAATTGGCAGGTTTCTCACCAGGAATTGTCAACGAATAAAAACGATATCCAGATAGAGATGCAAATATCAATGGTCAAGCAGGGACTACTTTCTGTGTTTACAAATAAACATGGCGATCGAGTCAGAATTAACCATCGGGAATCTGGAGAAACTACTGGGATAGTTGCTATCATTATCAAAAGAATAGTTTAATATACTGAAAATAAGTATCATTTTGACGTACCTAAGTTTTGGCAACTTTGGAGACTAGTACATTGCGAAAAAATTTAGCGAGGACACTACATATATTGTCAAGCTAAGGCTCGCTAAATACAATGTTTATTCCTAATACAAGATATTTACACTCCCGTGATAACCTCTATGTACCAAACTACCGTCAGTATAGTGACTTTTTCTATTCACTTTTCTGATTCTTGCTGCACATCATGTATACACATCATGCAACAACCAGGCATTGTTGATCAGCATGTCCCTCTGTCCATCTAACTTTTAAGTTGTGTTAGATAGCCTTAGATGTAATCAGCATGTTTTTAATTAAATTTAACAAAACACAACCTAGAGATGCTATTTATTATTTAACTTATATTCAACATTGTAAGTTGATTTTTATATCTGGTCATAAAGTACACACATGACTCACAACACTTTACACACGCTATGGATAGCACGTTGTACATAAATTGATTAATGCTCATTTTTAAGTTCTCAAGCGAGCAGAATGTATTTTTTTATCATTTTTTTGTACATTAAGAAAATGTTTGATGCGAGCTTCATTTAGTCTCAGTAAGTTATACATGTAGAACTTTCTCCAATGTACATCTGTATATCATTCGATTATTAAGGGCAGTGACCAGTTTTTCTGTCATCTGGTAGATCTCACATATCCTTGAGTGTTTAAACCATTCGCTGTAACATTAAGCTCCTACTGCTTTTGATTGTATATACTAGTATATAAAGCGACGAACCCCTTTCCATGGTCATAAGAAATCTCAGCTGAGTCCATTGTGGGATCCCGAGCGTTTCATGGGCATGTGTTTGTCATAGTTTTAAAGTCACTATATTTAATCCATAATTATAGTGGTCATATTTCAATAATGCGTTTTGTATTTTTCTCAATATTGTATCTTACAACTAAGCCAAACCTAAATATATTTCTGTAGATAATGTCAGTCAGTTGCCGTCCACGTAGCTGACCGTCACAAACCAGTGACTCTGGTTACCTAACTCAGTCAGCTTGCACAGCTAGGGTTGTGACCCAGGCTGTAACACGCATCTTCCCGAGGCAAGAGAGTTAACTGACTATAAAAGTCCCGTTTCCACCCTTGCCGAACTGGGTTGGTATTACGGAGTTAGAATTTGGCTGGACTATCGACCAGAACTTCTTGACTGGGCGCCGCCATTTTGTTTGAAGCAAATGCAAGTGATACGAGAGGTGGAATCTGATTGGCCCATAGGAGAGGCATAGAAGGGACGTAACTCGTAATAGCCAATGGTGGCGCTACGATCGAGCCCAGGAATTCCAGCCTAGTTCGGCAAGGGTGGAAACTGGACTTTTGACCACCGTTGGACGCACCATCTTGTTCAGAAGCGTTCCAACAAGTCGCTATCAATTCATGTATGGTTGTCAATTTTATGTTTAATGTTATAATTCATTGACTGCATCTTTCTTGTAATGTATTATTGTTTGAATATATCGCTTTCACTCTGCCATGAATAAAGACTTCAAGGGACTCAGCAGCCTTCTCTCTGTTTCAAGGTGATAGCCGAGTAATCAGCTCTACCAAGCTACTCTCCACGATCTTAGCAACGATCCAACCAAACTACGTCATGTTTTATGAATCACTATAGAAAATAGTGACACCAGGTGTAAGCATTCAGGTACAAACATGTAATAATGACATGCAGTGTGTATATGTCGCCCTAAGAGAAAATACATTTTGTAAACTAAAACATGTACATGGCATATCTGTCGATACTTGTCCTTGACACAAATATTTAGTAATATGAAAACACAAAGCATTTTAAGAAAGATAATGAACATAAATAAGTTTTGGTTTTGAAATCTTCATCTTCATAATATGTTACATATTCAACCATTTCAAGTTCCTTTTGTAAACACGAATTTGCATATATACAGGGATATGTGTCAATTACCCTTCACGCCAGCCGTCATATACTGGAATATTGCTGAGTGCGGCGTAAAACAACAAACCAACCAACCCTTCACGCCAAACGCATTACCATATACGGGTCTTGTAAACAACAAAAAAGACGAATGCTCATTTCACAAATATGTACACAACACCTGTTCGAGCTGTAAAGAAATGTTAGGGGAGACGTACGAGGAATTGATTAAATATGACATATTACTTACCTTGTTGACATGATGGCTGATGCTTTACCATACAATGACGTTAAGACGGAGATTTCGCAACTCTTAACGCACTGGCACTTACTTTTTGAATGATAACTGGATGGAGGGTGCCGCCGGTAGTGCAGGGCATGCTGGTCCTTTTAAGAACACGTCGTGTCATCACTGATTTACAGTGATCATCTAAAAGTTTTCATGAACATCGTGCTTTTCTACGCCCTTTAGAATCTGTTGCAGCAGATATTCGAGGCTGAATATTCTCTGGCTTTCTTTTAAAAGTTAATGTTTATGTTTCTTAATTTAAAGATATGAATATAATGCATATGGAAGTTACTGCAGGTGTATTTGCTATATAGGTGTAGAATCGAGTAAATGTGAGCGTTTCTCGAATGATGGACACTTATAAGACTGAATCTCGTCGTGTTCACAGTCGGTAGGTTACCGTTCTTCATGTCCGCCATGTGTATCCCATGTTTGCTGGTATTTTGTACGCGTGACGGTTGTTTGTTTGCCACAATCTTGATTGGGATGCTTTTCTTCTTCATTGAGGTCATCCTGAAGGGGCCTGGGTTCGGTTACATACACGGGTACAACGTGTGAAGCCCATTTAAGGTGTCTGAATATTGCTGTCCAGATATTGCTGGATTATTGCTGAAAGCGGCGTAAAACCATACACATTCACTCTTCACTGCGGACGTCAAACCAAGTTCAGGCATATCCAAATCCGAAGGCAAGAGGTATGCATGCGCAACATGGCCTTCGACCATAAATGGGCATATATGACGGGAGCCATATATGCCAGTCAATATGATTCTAATGCCTAGCTCAAAACGCAAGATTGTCGCGAAATATTGAAAACAAAAAGAGAAAATGGTGACTGAACTTTGTGTGAATGACATGTAGGTCTAACTAAGTTACTTCAAAGAAGACGCAATTACCTGGAACATGTTGAAAGAATAAAAAACAGGTAATTTTCACACGTTTTTTAATTGTTGAAAGTTCATTGGGAATAACAAACATTAGGGTGGGCCTGGTAATGTTTAGGGTGAAAATGATATTTCATTATCATGACAAAAATGTTTAAAATCTCAAGTCTATAATTACACTAATTACAATCAGATTCCACTGAAGACGATAGCTGGAAACATTGCCGACTGACAAAGTTCTTCTAATGAGAACTTAATTTATTTTGAATACATTATGAACGCACACAATTAATTAATTATTATATGACATCATTTTCTCTTTCTTAGCCACAAAATGTAAATACTACTTACATGTTCAATATCTCATTTCTTAGTCATATTATCGAGACTAATAAACAAATAGCAAGTAATTAACTGAACTGTAATAAGGGTATTTTACCCCGGGTCTTTTTGCGATTTTCTGAAAATTTGTACTGTTATTCGCAGCGCATGTGGAGAATGGGAAATCATTGGAATTTTTCTATCAAACTTAAGATCGTTGAAATACAAGTATACACTGTTATATCGTGAAGACGAATTTCTAGCTCTGCATCCGCAGACACAATGCACTATCTCTGGTTTATAGTTGATTTATAGTTGATACAGTGAGTATTGTTGCATCAACGTGCCCTTGTTAGAAGGTTTATAGCATTTTCACATACTCCAGCTACGCACGAAGGGAGATATGTTGCTGGGTCAAGCAAATGTACCACCAAACCACAAAGACTAACAATAATTCATAATCCAATGAAGGAAGAACTTTCTTTACATTCACAGAAACTATTTGAAAAAGATAATTATTGAGTTTTGATCACGTGGTTACAATACGGGTAATACCTGACTGTCAGGTGACTGCGAGCGGTTATATTTAGAAGTGACCTCCGTCAATAGCGCTCATCTTCCCGAGGCAAGGGAGTTAGTTATTTGACTATAAAAGTCCAGTTTTCACCCTTGCCGAACTAGGCTGGTATTATTGAGTTACATTTTGGCTCGACTAACGAGTCTATGTATAGTCCAATCAAAATCGCGCCACGAAATCGAAATCCGGTTTGTGAACTGTCGGGCAGATTTCGGTCGATTGCAGGGTTTGCAAAACATGTGCACCGCCAACTCGTTGTCAACAGATATTTTCTCAATCTTTTCATGTTTTTAATCAAGGTGCTCACATAATTTAATGCACTTCACGATGGAAGACCCGTTTTATAACAACATAAATCTTGATTATCGATCAGATCGTCTAGACTGGGCGCCTCCATTTTGTTTGAAGCAAATGCAAGCGAAACGAGAGGTGGAATCTGATTGGTCCATGGGAGAGGTATAGAAGGGACATAACTCGTAATAGCCACTGGTGGTGCTACGATCGAGCCCAGGAGTTCCAGCCTAGCTCGGCAAGGGTGGAAACTGGACTTTTAAAGTAGAGATGATTATGGAAATGGTTTTGTTCATCAGTAAGTGGCAGAGAGAAGGATACAGTTAATAATCAAATTCATTTTTATTCTAATTGACAACCAGGATATTAAACTATGATTAGCAATGGAAACAATGGAGTAGGGTGGTAAGTGTTCATTATGAAATCGAATTTTAAACGCAAGGAATAAGACCCAGACTTTCTGGTCTGTGGACACTGATGGGACTAAATCTTGGATAGCTTATTTTTAATCATTTATGTTCACCATGTGTGCTCCACGTTTGTACGCGTGGCGGTTCTTTGTTTGTTGTTGAACAGTTGTGTTCTAGATATTTGACGGTGGCCTGTAAACATCGAGTCTGGATCAGACAAACCAGCAGTTGATGTCATGAGCGACATCCAGCACGGTGTAGGGAATGATGACATGCAATAAACCAAGTCGCCGAGCCTGACAACTCGAACAATTCCTTTTACAAGCATCGGTTATTCCATCGGATCTCATGTGGTAGTAGTAGTAGTAGTAGTCGCCGAGGCTGACCACTCGACCCATTCCTTTTACAAGCATCGGTTATTCCATCGGATCTCATGTGGTAGTAGTAGTAGTAGTAGAAGTAGTAGTAGTAGTAGTAGTAGTAGTAGTAGTAGTAGTAGTCGCCGAGACTGACCACTCGACCCTTTCCTTTTATAAGCATCGGTTATTCCTTTAGAGCTCATGTAGTAGTAGTAGTAGTAGTAGTAGTAGTAGTAGTAGTAGTAGACTAAGTAGTAGTAGTAGTAGTAGTCGCCGAGCCTGACCACTCGACCCATTCCTTTTACAAGCATCGGTTATTCCATCGGAGCTCATGTAGTAGTAGTAGAAGTAGTAGTAGTAGTAAAGGTCGTTGACATTAGTAGTAGATGCATCAGAACCAGTAGAGATGGTTTCTGTTGTTTATCTTGACGCAATAGCAGAAGTAGTTGGAGTTAGTTTCATTGACGCTGATTTCAGCGACACTCAAGCCATGTCGGGGATTAATATGAGTTACATGTCGCAGCAGCGGGGGAGACCCGTGAAGATCCGGGTTAGAATAGGTCTTCAGCAACCCATGCTTGCCGTAAAAGGCGACTATGCTTGTAGTAAGAGGCGACTAACGGGATCGGGTGGTCAGGCTCGCTGACTTATTTGATATATCCCAATTGCGTTCATCGATGCTCATGATGTTAATCACTTAATTGTCTGGTCCAGACTCAAATATTTACAGACCACCGTCATATAGCTGGAATATTAAACAACAAACAAACAAACAAAAAGTAACCACTCGAACTATTCCTTTAACAAGCAAGTCGGTTATTCCCCTGGAGTTAATGCAGTAGTAGTAGTAGTAGTAGTAGTAGTAGTAGTAGTAGTAGTAGTAGTAGTAGTAGCAGAACCAGCATCTTCCCGAGGCACTGACTTTTATCGTCAGTTTACTCTCTCGCCTCGGGAAGATGCAGAACCAGTAGACATGGTTTCTGTTGTTGATCTAGACCCAATAGCAGAAGTAGTTGATGGAGTAAGTTGTTACGCCGATTTTAGCGACATTCAAGCCATGTGACAGTTGGGGATCATGAGTTACATGTGGAGGATGTGAAAGTTCATTCTTTTGTCTAACAGACAAACGTAAGGAATTAGATCCAGCACTTCTTGGCGGGTGGTGATGGTGAAATGGGGTTTAACATCTTCCCGAGGCAAGAGAGTTAACTGACTTTAAAAGTGCAGTTTCCACCCTTGCCGAACTTGGCTTGTATTCCTGGGCTCGATGGTAGCGCCACCAGTGGCTTTTACGTGTTATGTCCCTTCTAAGGCTCTCCTATGGACCAATCAGATTCCACCTCTCGTTTCACTTGCATTTGCTTCAAAGATAATGGAGGCGCGCATGTAGTAGTAGTAGTAGTAGTAGTAGTAGTAGTAGTAAACGTCCTTGACAGTAGTAGAATATACAGCAGAATCAGTAGACGTGGTTTCTGTTGTTGATCTAGACCCAATAGCAGAAGTAGTTGATGGAGTAAGTTGTTACGCCGATTTTAGCGACATTCAAGCCATGTGACAGTTGGGGATCATGAGTTACATGTGGAGGATGTGAAAGTTCATTCTTTTGTCTAACAGACAAACGTAAGGAATTAGATCCAGCACTTCTTGGCGGGTGGTGATGGTGAAATGGGGTTTAACATCTTCCCGAGGCAAGAGAGTTAACTGACTTTAAAAGTGCAGTTTCCACCCTTGCCGAACTTGGCTTGTATTCCTGGGCTCGATGGTAGCGCCACCAGTGGCTTTTACGTGTTATGTCCCTTCTAAGGCTCTCCTATGGACCAATCAGATTCCACCTCTCGTTTCACTTGCATTTGCTTCAAAGATAATGGAGGCGCGCATGTAGTAGTAGTAGTAGTAGTAGTAGTAGTAGTAGTAAACGTCCTTGACAGTAGTAGAATATACAGCAGAATCAGTAGACGTGGTTTCTGTTGTTGATCTAGACCCAATAGCAGAAGTAGTTGATGGAGTAAGTTGCTACGCTGATTTAGCGACACTCTAGCCATGTGACAGTCGGGGGTTAATATGAGTTACATGTGTCAGTAGCGGGAGTGGAGGATGCTGCGAGCTGAGCGGGCTTGTACACCGCGAGACTGAATGTAACCTAAAATGTGAACAAGCTAAATTATTATTATTATCGTAGTAAATGTAGGCATCAGTAGCAAGAAGTAGGATATATTGAAGTCATACTTCTAGTTGAGGTATGTAATCGGAGCGCACTTTGATCACAAGTGTGAATTTGACATCAATTCTGTAATACTGTGCCACGAAGAGTTACCTCCCTTACAACAATGGCGACTGCTTGCTGGCTGCACTTGAGCTGTAGGAGATGTGTTCTTTAAGTCACCTCACAGTGCGTCAGAAACAAGAAGCACAATGTTTAGTTTCACAACAGAAGCCAAAAAGGCTACATTTTTGTCACAAAAGATATATGACCAGTTGTGTTTGCATATTTACTTATATGCATATATTTAAGAAGTGTGAGTAAGTTGGGTTTTACACTGATAAACAGGATTTCAGTTGCATCGCAGCGGGTCATATGCATGTGAGACTGCCACTCAGTGTACGGACACGTACAACGTCCTATTATATTGACCGTACCGCCCCACTGGTGCACACGTGACAGGTCACAGGTGGTGATGACACGTGACTGCTTTCATCCGGGTTCGTGCGTCTTTCTACTTTCACTTTCGCTTTACAGTTGTCGTCATGTAACTTCGTAGTGAAGGAGAAGACAGGCGTCTCGAGCTGACCACGTACACAAAATCAGATAGTGTAGAGGTCAGTATTTGGGAAACTGTAAGGTAACACGGTTGTAGAATAGGAGTACCACTTGCTGACAGTTGCTGAAATACGTACTAGCTAAAGATAGTCGCGGTTGTGTGACTGGCATCGGTCCAGCGCACCCCAGACACTAACAGCACTGCGCATACTCTGTGTCATAAATCACAAGGTCATTCGGAAATGCCATCACCTGCACCCCAGACACTAACAGCACTGCACATACTCTGTGTCATAAATCACAAGTTCATTCGGAAATGCCATCACCTGCACCTACATCGAAACACATATTCGATATCACTGAAACCACAACTCGTACATCTCACAGACATCTGACTGATTTAAGGCAACGCTATTTCTCAGGGCATTATCATTTGCAGAAGCCGTAGGCCTTACATTAACTGCCCGGCGAAGGAGGGCAGTTGAAAAGACCGAGGACAACATATCCGTCCATATTCCATAACATATAATCAATATATCCGTCCATATTCCATAACACATAACCAACATATCCGTCCATATTCCATAACATATAATCCACATATCCGTCCATATTCCATAACATATAATCTACATATCCATCCATATTCCATAAAATATAATCAATATATCCGTCCATGTTCTATAACATACAATCGATATATCCGTCCATATTCCATAACATATAATCAATATATCCGTCCATATTCCATAACATATAATCCACATATCCGTCCATATTCCATAACATATAAACAATATATCCGTCCATATTCCATAACATGTAATCAATATATCCGTCAATATTCCATAACATATAAACAATATATCCGTCCATATTCGATAACATGTAATCAATATATCCGTCCATATTCCATAACATATAATCAATATATCCGTCCATATTCCATAACATATAACCAACATATCCGTCAATATTCCATAACATATAATCCACATATCCGTCCATGTTCCATAACATATAATCCACATATCCGTCCATGTTCCATAACATATAATCCACATATCCGTCCATGTTCTATAACATACAATCGATATATCCGTCCATGTTCCATAACATATAATCTACATATCACCCATATTTGACGTTCCATACGTCCATTCATGTTCCATTTCCATGAATGTTTTATGGCCATTTTTAATGACAAATTGCATCATTTTCCTTAAATCTCAATGTAAACGGAAATTGAAATAGCTTCAAAGGTGTCTGTGTATTTAGTTCATTCAGTTGGGGATTGTAAGTATAATATCTGTATTTTCCATCCACAGACAACATGGCGGCTAGTGCCACTGCAGGCAACAGATACCTATCATCGACTGGTTTGTATATCGTAACCTATGTTGGCGACGTCACAAAGGCACAATCAGATGGTATTGTTGTCAGCGAGGGGAAATCATTTCGGGGAATGGGATATGTTGCAAAAACCCTTGTTAGGACGGACTCAGAATTCGACACAAATCGCAACAAGCTGATTCAGAAAGAAAAAGCCAATTTCACACCATGGAGGGTGTACACAACTGGGAAGTGCGCCAAGTTCCTATCGGTGTTTCATGCTATTGTCATACCCCGGGGAGAGAAAGAACCAATCCAGGAGTGGAAGGGGAAAATGGCCTCATTATACAAGATAATACTCCAAGAAGCTGAGAAGAAGGGTATCCGTATCCTGGCGGTACCTTTACTAGGGTCTGGTAAGACAATAATCTGAGACGTATGGGGATGTGGTGATATGTTTCTATGTGTTTATCCTAAATGCCCGTCTCGACCCATGACAAGTCTCCATATTTGTTAATTTGGTCTCGTTCAGCATTTCAATATCCCCATATATGCTTGTCTAAAGTGGCATGTGTGTTTAAGGTACCATTAATCAATTTTCGATTTGACTGGGGGCGGTCGGGTAGCCTAGTGGTTAAAACGTTCGCTCGTCACGCTGAAGACCCGGGTTCGATTCCCGACATGGGTACAATGTGTGAAGCCCATTTCTGGTGTCACCCACTGTGATATTGCTGGAATATTGCTAAAAGCGGCGTAAATCATACTCACACACTCACTTGATTTCGACTGTAACATAAGCCTGGTTGAATATGAATCGCTGTCAAATTGCGATGGTGCCAGCTGCTCCTTAACGCTGAAGTGATCTGTCCCTTAAAACTAAAACTCTCCACGCTACAGTCATGCGTCTGTATACATTTGCAGGAAAGGTGATTGCGCTTTCCATGTTAGGTTGCACATCATGTATTGTGCGGGGGCACTGGTGGCACAGTCGTCAAAGCCACCGCAATTCTTTGTGCAGAGTTGCGTTTCATGGATACCCCAGAACTATGATTGTGGTTTCGAATCCCGGCTCACCCCGATTATGTTTCTGGGTTTGTCTGCACCATTCCTATGCTCTTGGGTTTCTCAGAAGTGGTAAACGTCGGGCTTTCCTTCCTCATTAAGCTGACACGCCATGATATAACTGTAATACTGTTAAAAGCTGCGTTAAACCCAACATACTCACTCATAAATAATTAATAAATCAACAAGGTTTGTTTTCCTTTTTAAAAGCAATAACTATGACTTTTGGATGCGAATGTAACTGTACATGCATTTTATGGGCAACAGTATGCATATGTTAAGTAACCTACGTATCCTATGCATACATGAGTGTAGCAACACTGAGAATTGGAAATTTTTGTGATGTTTATTTGTTGTTTAACGCCACACTAAGCACTATTCCAGCTATATGACGGTGGTCTGTAAATATTTGAGTCTGGACCAGACAATCTAGTGATTGACATCATGAGCGTCGATCCACGCAATTGGGATCGATGACATGCATTAACCAAGTCACCGAACCTGACCGGATCGATCCCGTTAGTCTTACGACAAGCATAGTCGCCTTTACGGTTTTGTGATGTACATGCTTTTTGTAAACTAAACGTTTGTTTGACAAAAGCCAAAGCCTCTGAATTGTCTAATTGTTTTTTTCCAGGTAAAATCAAGGTAAAACCAGCAGACGCTGTTGAGGTGGCAGTCCACGCTATGTTCTCTTATAAGAGAACCTCTCTCTTCAAGGTACTGCTCGTGTCAAACAGAGAGGACATTGTGGATCAGCTGGCTACTCAGTGTGCCTACACCAGCAGTGTGACAGGTGGAAAACCCCTTTATCAAAGACCTCCACCAAACATTAAAGCGGAACGCCCGCTTCCACAACCCCCGTCTTCAAACGCGAAATCAAAATCTAAACTTGGTGGAGGAACCGATAACAGTTGTTCAAGCCTGAAGAGAAAGAATGGAGACAGATCAGAGAGAACACATGAGAATGTGGTGAAACAAATGAGACTTGCTCCTCAAAGACGTAATTATGAAGAGGAAGATGGGGATGAAATTAATGATGATGATGAGGAGGAGGAGGACACATCAGAACAAGAAAATACTGGGAGACATGTTGGTGGTAGAATAGGAAACCAGGAACAACCTAGAAGAGAACTTGCAACAACCTCAACTGAGAGTGCGACAGGTGCGATATTTTACACATTTATCAAACATTTCTTTTAATTAGAAAGATAGCGTGTCATTAAATGTTCATACATAATATGTTAATACACATTTGTTTCAGTTTCTGCGCACATACCTCGACCATCATCCCAAGAGGATGAAATGAAGGAACAACTCTCCTGCCCGGTGTGTTTAGATCTGTTCACTGACCCGGTCATATTGCAGCCCTGTTGCCACACTTTGTGCAGTGAGTGTGCGGAAACCATCCGATCCCAACAAAGCTCCTTCAAATGTCCTATGTGTATGGCTGTTGTCCAGAATGGCCCACTTCAGAGGAATTTTCACTTGGAAGGCACGGTGAGTATCTACAGACGACAGCGGAAGATAAGCAACAGTATGAACTAGTGCTGGCAAAAATGTTGGTGTGACTGGAAAGGTTATGAGATAATCTACACTTAATAGGAATAGGCTTGGATTGTGATGAATTTCAGTCGGACATACAAATACTACAATGGTGTCTGTCATATACATGATATACGATTACAATAATACTTGTTCATTATATTACATTGAGTAAAAACGCCTGTCTACATGTTATTCATATATTTGTGTGCTTGTATATGTGAATCATGTAAACTGACGGGTAAAAGAAAGTTTATAAAAATGAATTTGACCAAAGAATTACAACGTTATCAAAACGTTACTAGGCTGAAAGCAGTGTCTGAAACACTGCAAACCTAAGGTCGAAAACACAAATATGATACCCATATAAAAAAACAACAACATCACCATCGAATAAGCAATTCTTGCTTGTTTTATTTTTAGCCACCATCAAACATGGGTGTATACTTTCTTTTGTCTGCTAGTATATATTGGTTGGTTACGTTAGCTTGTGTACTTCAATAACGCAATAGTAATGCAAAGCAACACCGCAGAATACAGATTACAGTGCACACTTTGAATAATGTGAATGTAGTGTTGCTTTTGATTAATTATATTTACATGACTTTATTTAATACACTGTATACCAGTATATGGTTACTTTTATCATATAATGGGCAGGTTTCTCGCCAGGAAATGTCAACGAATAAAAACGATATCCAGATAGAGATGCAAATATCAATGGTCAAGCAGGGACTACTTTCTGTGTTTACAAACAAACATGGCGATCGAGTCAGAATTAACCATCGGGAATCTGGAGAAACTACTGGGATAGTTGCTATCATTATCAAAAGAATAGTTTAATATACTGAAAATAAGTATCATTTTGACGTACCTAAGTTTTGGCAACTTTGGAGATATACTAGTACATTGCGAAGCAATTTAGCGAGGACGCTACATATATTGTCAAGCTAAGGCTCGCTAAATACAATGTTTATTCCTAATACAAGATATTTACACTCCCTAAACACACTCGCGTGAAAACCTCTATGTACCAAACTACCGTCAGTATAGTGACTTTTTCTATTCACTTTTCTGATTCTTGCTGCACATCATGTATACACATCATGCAACAACCAGGCATTGTTGGGAATAAAGTGATCAGCATGCCCCTCTGTCCATCTAACTTTTAAGTTGTTTTAAATAGCCTAAGATGTAATAAGCATGTTTTTAATTAAATTTAACAAAACACAACCTAGAGATGCTATTTATCATTTAACTTATATTCAACATTGTAAGTTGAACTTTATATCTGGTCATAAAGTACACACATGACTCACAGCACTTTACACACGCTGTACATGAATTGATTAATTCTCATTTCAAAGTTCTCAAGCGAGCAGAATGTATTTTTTTCATCACTTTTTAGTACATTAAGAAAATGTTTGACGCGAGCTTCATTTAGTCTCAGTAAGTTATACATGTAGAACTTTCTCCAATGTACATATGTATATCATTCGATTATTAAGGGCAGTGACCAGTTTTTCTGTCATCTGGTAGATCTCACATATCCTTGAGTGTTTAAACCATTCGCTGTAACATTAAGCTCCTACTGCTTTGATTGTATATACTAGTATATAAAGCGACGAACCCCTTTCCATGGTCATAAGAAATCTCTGTTGTGAACAGAGTCCATTGTGCGATCCCGAGCGTTTCATGGGCATGTGTTTGTCATAGTTCTAAAATCACTATTAATCCATAATTATAGTGGTCATATTTCAATAATGCGTTTTGTATTTTTCTCAATATTTTATCTTACAACTAAGCCAAACCTATATATATTTCTGTAGATAATGTCAGTCAGTTGCCGTCCATGACTCTGGATACCTAACTCAGTCAGCTGGCACAGCTAGGGTTGTGCCCCAGGCTGTAACACGCATCTTCCGGAGGCAAGAGAGTTAACTGACTATAAAAGTCCCGTTTCCATTCTTGCCGAACTGGGCTGGTATTATGGAGTTAGAATTTGGCTGGACTAACGAGTCTGTGCATAGTCCAATCAAAATCCGGTTCGTGTCATGCATATTTCGGTCGATTGCAGGACTTGCAAAGCGTGTGCACCGTCAACTCGTTGTCAACAGATATTTAACTAATCTTTTTCATGTTAACAATCATGGTGCTCACGTAATTTGATGCACTTCGCGATGTAAGACCCGTTTGATCACAATATAGATCTTGATTATCGACCAGAACGTCTTGCCTGGGCGCCGCCATTTTGTTTGAAGCCAATGCAAGTGAAACGAGAGGTGGAATCTGATTAGCCCATAGGGGAGGCATAGAAGGGACGTAACTCGTAATAGCCACTGGTGGCGCTACGATCGACCACAGGAATTCCAGCCTAGTTCGGCAAGGGTGGAAACTGGACTTTTGAAGTCAGTTAACTCTCTTGCCTCGGGAAGATGGTAACATGCTGTACATGGCCAGACGCACCATCAGTTTAATATCAGATAGGTAGGAATATAAAGGATATTACGGTTTGAGTGCACTCCGTAACTATGGAAGAACTGCAATTTATACACCAGGCATATGGCACATTTAGATCATAGCTTCAATATTAGGTGACTTACGCATTCTACAGAAGGCCTGAGTCCTTATAGTTTATAGGGAGTCCAGTGGCCGATACTTCACTCTGTCACGAATAAAGACTTCAAGGGACTCAGCAGTCTTATCTCTGTTTTAAGGTAAGATAACATTGTTTTCTTGTTAAACTCTTCTTGCCTTAGACTTATACCATATTATATGCACCCCACTTTATCTTTCCATCGCTTGATATCTTTAACAATAACTTATATTTCATTTATTCTACCACATAACAACTTGATTGTTAATTGTATATGTGTATATTTCAATATTAGTAGATTAGTTCACTGGTACAACCCTACATTACATAGCATGAGAAGGAGTACATAGTGGTAAAAACCCGCGGGTAATCTCACGTAAATACCGTCTCATGCAAATATTGTCTATCATTTGGTTAAGCATTTATTGCATTGAAATTATACAGTATGTTAAATACATTCGTATGTAAATACATCAGTAACGCTAGAATGCCGTAAATGTTAACAATTCCTGTATGAAATGCCTTAGTCAGAATAACATAAAAATCTTCCCAGTCCTTTACTATACACAAATCGCTTTTTGTTCCGTATTTATTAGAACAGTCTTGTTCAGAAGCGTTCCAAACAGTCGCTATCAATTCATGTATGGTTGTCAATTTTATATTTGATGTTATAATTCATTGACTGCATCTTTCTTGTAATGTATTATTGTTTGAATATATCGCTCTGTATGAAATTTCACTCTGCCATGAATAAAGACTTCAAGGGACTCAGCAGCCTTCTCTCTGTTTCAAGGTGATAGCCGAGTAATCAGCTTTACCAAGCTACTCTCCTCTATCTTGGTCATTGTGATCTTAGCAACGATCCAACCAAACTACGTCATGTTTATGAATCACTATAAATAATAGTGACACCAGGTGTTAGCATTCAGGTACAAAACATGTAATAATGACATGCAGTGTGTATATGTCGCCCTAAGAGAAAATCCATTTTGTAAACTAAAACATGTACATGGAATATCTGTCGATACTTGTCCTTGACACAAATATTTAGTAATATGAAAACACAAACTATTTTAAGCAAGATAATGAACATAAATAAGTTTTGGTTTTGAAATCTTTATCTTCATAATATGTTACATATTCAACCATTTCAAGTTCCTTTTGTAAATACGAATTTGCATATATACAGGGATATGTGTCAATTACCCTTCACGCCAGCCGTCATATACTGGAATATTGCTGAGTGCGGCGTAAAACAACAAACCAACCAACCCTTCACGCCAAACGCATTACCATATATGGGTCTTGTAAACAACAATAAAGACGAATGCTCATTTCACAAATATGTACACAACACCTGTTCGAGCTGTAAAGAAATGTTAGGGGAGACGTACGAGGAATTGATTAAATATGACATATTACTTATCTTGTTGACATGATGGCTGATGCTTTACCATACAATGACGTTTACACGGAGATTTCGCAACTCTTAACGCACTGGCACTAACTTTTTGAATGATAACTGGATGGAGGGTGCCGCCGGTAGAGCAGGAACACGTGGTGTCATCACTGATTTACAGTGCTCATCTAAGATTTTTCATCACCATCGTGCTTTTCTACGCCCTTTAGAATCTGTTGCAGCAGATATTCGAGGCTGAAAATTCTCTGGCGTTCTTTTAAAAGTTAATGTTTATGTTTCTTAATTTAAAGATATGAATATAATGAATATGCAAGTTACTGCAGGTGCATTTGCTATATAGGTGTAGAATCGAGTAAATGTGAGCGTTTCTCGAATGATGGACACTTATAAGACTGAATCTCGTCGTGTTCACACTCGGTAGGTTACCGTTCTTCATGTCCGCCATGTGTATCCCATGTTTGCTGGTCTTTTGTACACGTGGCGGTTGTTTGTTTGCCACAATCTTGATTGCGTTGCTTTTCTTCTTCATTGAGGTCACCCTGAAGGGGCCTAGGATCGGTTACACACACGGGTACAACGTGTGAAGCCCATTTATGGTGTCTGAATATTGCTGTCCAGATATTGCTGGATTATTGCTGAAAGCGGCGTAAAACCATACACATTCACTCTTCACTGCGGACGTCAAACCAAGTTCAGGCATATCCAAATCCGAAGGAAAGAGGTATGCATGCGCAACATGGCCTTCGACCAGCACTCTTGACAAGAGCCATATATGCCAGTCAATATGATTCTAATGCCTAGCTCAAAACGCAAGATTGTCTCGAAATATTGAAAACAAAAAGAGAAAATTGTGACTGAACTTTGTGTGAATGACATGTAGGTCTAACTAAGTTACTTCAAAGAAGACACAATTACCTGGAACATGTTGAAAGAATAAAAAACAGGTAATTTTCACACGTTTTTTAATTGTTGAAAGTTCATTGGGAATGACAAACATTGGGGTGGGCCTGGTAATGTTTAGGGTGAGAATGATATTTCATTATCATGACAAAAATGTTTAAAATCTCAAGTCTATAATTACACTAATTACAATTAGATTCCAATGAAGACGATAGCTGGAAACCTTAAGTACTTCAAAGTACTTCTAATGAGAACTTAATTAATTTTGAATACATTATGAAAGCACACAATTAATTAATTATTATATGACATCATTTTCTTAGCCACAAAATGTAAACACTACCTACATATTCAATATCTCATTTCCATTTCCTATAGTCATATTATCAAGACTAACAAACAACTAAACTGTAATAAGGGTATTTTACCCCGGGTCTTTTGCGATTTTTCTGAAAAGTTGTTCTGTTATTCGCAGCGCGCATGTGGAGAATGGGAAATCATTGGAATCTTTCTATCAAACTTAAGATCGTTGAAATACAAGTATACACTGTTATATCGTGGAGACGAATTTCTAGCTCTGCATCCGCAGACACAATGCGCTATCTCTGGTTCATAGTTGATACAGTGAGTATTGTTGCATCAACGTGCCCTTGTTAGAAGGTTTAAAGCAGATTGTGATGAACATTTTCACATTCTCCAGCTACGCACGAAGGGAGATACCGGTATGTTGCTGGGTCAAGCAAATGTACCACAAAACCACAAAGACTAACAATAATTCATAATCCAATGAAGGAAGGACTTTCTTTACATTCACAGAAACTATTTGAAAAAGATAATCATTTTGATCACGTGGTTACAATACAGGTAATACCTGACAGTCAGGTGACTGCGAGTGGTTATATTTAGAAGTGACCTCCATCAATAGCGCTCATCTTCCCGAGGCAAGGGAGTCACAGCAAAAAAAGTGTAGGTTTCCGTCTTCCGTCTTCCGGAAACCTTCCAGATACCTACCCATTTTGGATCCGACCCGGATACCTTCCGGAAACCTTCCAAAAAAAATGTCAAAATTTGGGTTGTGCATTTTGTTCAGTTAAGTGTGAAACACATAAAAAAATTATCTTGAAAATACCAAGAAGTTTGAAGGTTACTGAAGGTATCTGGAAGGTTTCCGGATGCAAATTTTCTTCATGTCTTGTTTCTACTTATTAATGTTAGCCTGTGCATATCAGATAGCTGTTGTAATATTCTGTGTTATTTTAGTTGTAAATATCCTCCTAAAACTGAGATCTGTGGGCATGCATTGTTCACAAGTTTGTTTCGAGACATGGGTCCAATGTGTGAAGCTTATTGCTGGTGTCCCCCACCATGATATTGTTGCAATATTGCTAAAAGTGGCAAAACAGCATTCTCACTAAAAACAAAGAAGGAAAGTCATTGGCTATGTGCTTTGGCATTTCGCCCTGGTGAGATTAAAAGATTAGTTTAGAACGGTATCAGTACTTGTTATATCTGGACAGTGTAGTTTCATGGGAACATGAAACAGAATACAATTGTCCCAAATTGGTGCATAAGACTAATGGCATCCATAGAAAACACCTAAATAATGTACAGAAAAAAATATCAATGTCTTTTGTCTACTAATGGGGAACTACAACTTTTGTTAAGTGAGCTGTATTTATAGTATATATACATTCAGGGCATAAGTATATTTTATATTTGTTCAGCACCTATGTTATGGCTGATCAGTATTATATATCTTTATGCTAATGAAGCAAAACAAATAATGTTTTTGGGAGAAAAAAAATCTTGTTCATTGATTTTATGGCATTTCTTTGGTACATATCACAAATTGAAATTTGATCAAGCAAGAAGAGGAACAAGCATAAAGTAAACAGTGGTGTTTGCAAGGCCTTACAGAACAGACACTTCAATGTCATTTTCTAAATAAACAAATTAGTCAAATCTCAGAAGAATTTCATGGAAGAAGAATATCTAAAGTCAATTATGTTTCTGCAGTAAACCACAAAAGTCATTCAGATTTGTATAGTTAGCGTCGGTGTACACAACCTGGACATAGTCACAGTGCTTTGGCATAAATTCATTCAGACTTGATTAGTGTCATAATATAACCACCTACAGTCACACTGATGTGGCATTATTCATTCAGAATCATCACTTTCTGAGGTGAATCTGTTGGTTGATATCGGGAGGATTGTTCATCACCAGGCGAGTCCCTTGTCTGATTTGTGTGAGCAAGATCTTCTGAAATGTAGCTGGTGTCAGATTGTGAAATCCAGGTACCTGAAACAATTCATAATATCTTTAGAAACTTGTTATTAAAAAAATATGAAACACACACATATTTACAAATGTTGTTTTCTCGAACAGTGAGGTATTGACAATTTATCTTGCAACTGATATTTAACCAATCTTTGAACATGTAAATAAGCCATTGCAAACAGAAAAGTGTTCAGAAAATACAAAAATGTATCCGGTCTTCTAAAACAATACCGTAAGCACCACAAGGTTCACCTGAATTTTGCTTGAATGTTTGCATTACATCAAAATGTAAGGAAGGGTAAACAAGACAATGCAAAACTAACTTACATAGGTTCTTATACATAAAAACAGAACTATTCATAATAATCAAAATACAAGATAATGAGCGAGTGAGTTGGTATAGTTTCATGCAGCTTGTTAGCAATATTCCAGCTATGGGCTTCACACATTGTACCCATGTGGCGAATTGAACCCACTAGGCTACCCTAGCACACCAAATACAAAAGAAAGTACATTAGGATTTCAGACAATAGATATTCTCTCCAAATTCATTAATTCATTATTTGAAGCTATATTGAAATTCAAATTTTGACAAATTAGGATGAGACTGTAGAAGTATTTATCTGCTAAGCCCAAGAGATGCAACTCTGCACATCAAATTGTAGTGCCTTTGATAATAGGACATCTGTGCCCACAGCGATAAGGAACAAACTGAAGAAATATTTGCAAAATAACCATATGAACCAAACAGAATAATTTCAAAATATTTATCACTCACTGTTTCTCTTCTCTTGTTCCCCATTGCTTCTCTTCTATGGTCTTTCTTTGCATTGATGCTGCACAGATGACTGTCTCTTTTATTCATCCGGACATTCTACAAACATAAGATGAACACGCACTCATCCACTGCACACACTACCTAACACATCGAACCGCATTACAAACCACCCTCAATCTAAACAAGGCTCTCACTCTAGAAGCAATACTAAACCCACAAAATAAACTAGAAAACTTCAAGGCCTTAGGCGTATTCTCAATAAAAACGGAACTAATAAAACGCATCTAAAAACACAATAACCTACCAAATCAAAATCACAAAAACAAACAAACATCCACCATACCCAGCTCCCTTAGTTCTCCTCCCCAACCCCATCAGCATCAATTCCAAATCTCAAAATTACCAAATTCTATATAAGCAACCCCTAAAGCCCCCTCTTGGGTTGCACATACCTCTTTCGCCCCTTTCGGAAACACATTAAATGGCCTGGCCGGCCCGTGTGCGAAATACGCATCAGTCGGAAAGCGCATGTTAAATCTCCAAAGTAAGTAAGTAAGTAAGTAAGCTTAGTCAGTTGTGCATTTACAGCCACACTGACTGCTATTCAACTTATCAAGTCAGTTTACTATGTAACATGCTTCTGGGGACCAATGAAATGTATCTTGCTGGATGACAGTTTTTTCTATTTTATCAGAGATCAGAAATAATAATAATGACGGTTTTGATGTGCATTTCTTTGTCGTGTTCACTAGGATGATTAGTAGTGATGGTATTTGAATTATTAGACACTATTTATTCCAAAAGAGGAATAGGGTTGGTGAAGAGGCAAAGCTCATTTGAACAACATATACAATTAATAAACAGAAACTGTACAAAAAACAGATGAACTGTACCTACTGTTGAAACTATCATGATGCAAATTTTCACTGAATCAAAGTCATATCTTTTCACGACCCAGACCAGGCTGTAGTGATTTAAGTTCACATAAAACTTGCTAATTTCAAATGACCCATCCTGCACTTATGATTTGGTTTGGTTTGTTGTTTTATGCCGCACTCAGCAATATTCCGTCAATATGTAAATAATCGAGTTTGGACCAGACAGTCCAGTGATTGACATCATGAGAATCGACCCACACAATTGGGATCAATGACATGCATCAACCAAGTCACCGAGCCTGACCGCCACCTGGTCGCGTTAGTCAACTCTTTAGACAAGCATAGTCACCTGTTACGGCAAGTATTGGGCTACTTTATATTTGTGTGTCCAAATTACGTCATTATTAGAAATAATATGTATTATTATACACATGAATATGATATAAAAAGGGCAAATATGGTTGACAATATGAGCATTGATCTAAGAAATTGGAGCGGAATTGTAAATATTCACCTAATGAAGGAATAAGTATATACTCCGAAATGTTGTTATCCTCATAATAAAGAAGTTGACATCAATAATTTCCTCCTTTAAGTCCTTATGTGTATCACTTGTAAATGATTTTCATAGACTTCAGGAGTATATCTGTGATATATGTGTGCACTTAAATAAATCACTGCATCCTTACCTGGGGCAGGAATAGATAATTTGACAGAAACAATAGTCAAATTTATAGCCAAATACAGGTATTTGAAGATTTTCAGTTGTGGCGACACCTGCAGTGAAACCCATACAGTATTTGATTTGTAGTAGTAAACTGTTCTAGTATTTTCTGTCTGTAGCTGTAAAGAAGTTCTAAAATTGTAGCGAGCCCCTGCTCAGACATTAGGAGGAGCAAGATGACATAGATATTAACCCATTTGTAAAATGTACAGCCTGAAGTATGTTTGTTGCCACATATCAATAAAATAGTTCCATATTGGCTGATTTATTTCTTGTAATGCAAGGGCAGAAATAGCATCAGTTATTACTGACAAATATCTCTTGTAAAACCTTTCAACATGTTCAAGTGACACATCGAGGGCCATTGTGAAAAATTGTGATCTGACAGCACCATGTTAGGATTCTTAAATACAGTTTCAACTTGACATTGCATACTTTAAACTTTAAAGCGTATAATCTATTCACAATAAGTTAGCTGCATCTGCCAATCAGAGTCGGCGAGTAAATTGGAGTAGGGGGCTAATTTCTAAGGTAAACTTGTTTCAATGTTTAACAACTATTTGTGTTTGTATGAGATGATGTGTGTTTAATTCCATATATTTTACTTCAAAGCATGTTATCACAATAAATTGAGTCGCGTATAGGATAAGTTGGAGTAGAGGCTAATTTCTAATGTAAACTTGTTTTAACATTTCACAATTATTTGTCTTTGCAAGTCATCAATCCAAGTTTAATTTCATTTATTTTACCAAGGTAAAAAAAAAATAAGATGTCATTTTCGTCAAGCAATAATTGCCATTTTCACTTTCGGCAAGTATTTCGCCAATCAGTGCCGTTTTGCTAAGGTGTCGTTTAGCTATAACCCGCTTATTGCACATTATAATTTTCAATTTATAATCATTTTAACCAGTGGAATAAGTAAAAAATGAAATAAAAAAACATATAAAAAATAAAGGTGCTTTCATAAACAAGCTCTTGTTATAAAATGCGCAGCCGCAGGCAATATTTAGTAAATAAAACATCTGAGTCGGGTCAGATGTTTTAAGGCGAGTCCGGTGCAACTCGCAAAAACGGCACCTCAGCAAAATGTCACTGATTTCTCGGACGAAAACAGCACCTTGTTTTGGCAAAAAGGGCTACTAATAGTTGTCTGTTATCTGGAGACATTCTTGTGATGTTGGGTCCTGGCAGAAAGGGGATACATATATATGAAATTTCTATAAAATTACTATTTATTTCCTACTTGCTAAAATAAATATGAAATATATAGTATACCTATAGTCCAGTTTCTTGACATTTTCGCCAGACTCAGTTTCAGCTTGACATTGAGCTAATCTGAGTGAAGCTACTTAAAACCTCAAAGCATTGTGATCTTTCAATGATCCTTTAAAACTAGTAGAGGCTAATTTCTAATGTAAACTGTTTTTAGGTGATTAACATTTCACAATTATTTGTGTTTGCAAGTTTAATTTCATTTATTTTACTTCAATGAAATCAAAGCATGTTATATTTTTATAATAAATTTAGTTGCATCTCTAAATCAGAGTCGGCGAGTAGATGCTAGTTTCTAATGTAAACCTTTTTGAACATTTCTCAGTTATTTGTGTTTACAAGTGACCATGCAAATTTAATATCATGTATTCGGGCATGTTCAGTACCAAGGTAAAATAAATAACAAGGTGCTGTTTTCACCGGGCAATAGCAAGCGAGGTGCCGTTTTCGCTATATAGTTTACCCTCTCTTAAAACAAGCATAGGTTGATGGGGACCAATTCCAACACTGAATCCCCACATGAGTGGGTATGGTATTACGCTGTTTTTAAGCAATATTCCAGCAATACCACAGCAAGGGACACCTGACATGGACTTCACACATTGTACCCATGACAAGAAACGAACCTTGGTCTTCAGCACTTCAACCACTAGGCCACCCCATCACAAAAATTCCCAACATGATAAAGTTGGCACCATGGTATTCTTCAACAAGTTCAAGTGAAAATATCCATATCTTCCACTTCAATATGTTCAGTGTTGCAAAACTTCTGTCATTTAATTTGTTCTTGATTCTTGACACCTGCAAAAGTAAGTTTAGTCTATTAACCATTCTCACAGATTGGTGAGTACCACAGATTGCTTTGACAGTATGATATGAACTAAGAAAATGAGTCACATAAGAGTATCTAGTTAAAGGAATATAAGTAGGCAAACATATTTCTACATCATATACATTAGCAAGGATTAACATAAGCATGATAAGCATGATAAGTTAGGTAGATTGCTTATCCTACAAAAATAAAATCACACATTTACTAACATATATAAAACTGAATAAGTAGCTTACAGATGATAAATAACTTTAATACGTGATCAATATTATTCACATATTCCCTACCTGAATCAGAGACCATGTAACAGTCTATATGTAATATGGTCTCTGTCTGAATATGTCACGTCTTCAGCTCCCTGCATGACATCAGCTGCAATCGCCAATTTTGACGAGGTTGTGAAACATTTCTGCTGTAGGAATATTACGTCCGCTGGTATTTCCCTTGTCACACTGTCTTATCTAGGCATGGTAGGCAAACACATATTCCATACACGACGTAGGTATACTTCCTAATACACACTGTCGAAATCCCCGCTGCTCCCAATATGGCCTGTATGAACTGTAATCGGCAAACCTCGTCTCTTTCCGTAACTGCTTCTGAAATGACCGCTCGTCATTCGTGACCAACTCGTGTTATTCCGGGACAAGCAAGTCTACCCATAATTCCCTGTATGGCCGAGGGCGCCATTTTGGCACACAAATGTAAACAAACACTCAAACCTCGTGTAATCGATGTACACCGTGATGCTTGATTGCGATATGCCTACCTCGTGTATCAATACATTGTTCTCAATCACCTCTAACACGGAAATCCCGGTCGAAATCCATCGTATTTCGAAAACTCGATTGACAGCCGAAGGAAGAGCAGCTTGCGGATGCCAGGTACGAAGCAGGGCTTCGAGACATAATGTTCCATGATTTCTATACATAGATCTTATGGAATGGATTGATTTAGATATTTACCTGATCTCCATGTACTTCTGTAAACGTCTAGGCCCTTTTAGTTTTGTTGTTTTCGGAAACCTTTTGTTATTATTATGATCAAGTGTTTGTTGTGACATGGGATTTGGGCTTGCATAAGAGTTACAGGTGCAGGACTTTTAAGGGTCGTGTCCTTATTCTCAACTTAACGCTGGGATTTGATAATATAGGGTTAGTTACCAAGGGTATAAATCTGGCATAGTGCATGTCATACAAAACGTGGCATTCAATTACAATCATGTGTTGCCACCTGAACCACCTGAAAGTGAGATATGGATTACATAATGACAGCTTATCAATCTATAACAAATTCACACTGAAACTTTGAAAGGATTAAGACAAGTTAGTTATTTTCTGTTTCAGCATGTTCAGGGTTTGTGGGGAGGTTCACAGACATCCTCAGGGAGGATACGAAGTAATGAGTGAGTATTTTTGTGTGTGATAATTACAAACTACATGTATTCATCATGGTATATTTCAATGCAGTGTGAAACATCACAATCACAATATTCGAGCTCTGTGATTGCAGCCTGTAAATAATTGAACATGGACCAGGCAATCTAGTGATTGTTATTATCAGCAAAGATCCATGCCCTCAGCATGCTCAGAGTATGATGACAACCTAGTCTGATTAGTGTTTGGATGTTGTTTTGTCGTTGTGTTTGTGTGTATGTATGAGTGTATTTAACTTAAATCATGAATCTTATACTTGTTTCTCTGTGCTTTGACAATGTAACCCAAATTTCCTTGGAAATAATAAAGTGCATGTCATTTCTGAACAAAGTGTCATATCAAGGTTAGATCTCTGTCAAAACAGTGCCATTGAATAGCCAAACAAATAGCCTAGAAATAAAAGTAAATACTGCATTGCATTAATCTGCATTTCAAGAAAATTTAGCAATAATTCATGGAATGATATTGACTTAGTGAGGATCTTTCTGCATTGTCGAACAAGTTATTCCCTATGTAATGTATGTGTTGAATGACCCTGACTTTGTTGTCAAAATATTGTTTTGACATATGTTAAATATGGGGATAAGTGTCATCTCTGAATTGTTATAATTAGGGCAATTCTAAGTCACAACTGGGGTCTTTTTATTTGAATCAAATGTACCACATTTACAGTTTTGACATTTCTGTGATGTGAATGGAACTTATGTTTGTAGAATGTCCGGATGAATAAAAGAGACAGTCATCTGTGCAGCATCAATGCAAAGAAAGACCATAGAAGAGAAGCAATGGGGAACAAGAGAAGAGAAACAGTGAGTGATAAATATTTTGAAATTATTCTGTTTGGTTCATATGGTTATTTTGCAAATATTTCTTCAGTTTGTTCCTTATCGCTGTGGGCACAGATGTCCTATTATCAAAGGCACTACAATTTGCTGTGCAGAGTTGCATCTCTTGGGCTTAGCAGAAACCTTTAGTCATGGGTTCAAATCCTGGTTCTCCCCGATTATGTTGCTAGGTTTGTCAGCGTTATACACATGCTCGTGGGATTCATCAAATACCTGCATCACTTAGGGCTTTCTTCCCACATCAAGCTAACAGGCAGTAATATATCTGGAATACTGTTCAAAGCAGTGTTAAACACAACTCACTTATTTAACACTGCATCCAGCAATAGATTGGCTATATGACAAGGATTGTAAATATATATTTTCCCATGTTGATGAGTTGAAACAATCACTAAATGACATCTCTTAAAATGATTCCCACTCCCAGCAGTCTATGCTTGCCATACAAGCCTAATTAATAGATCAGGTAGTGATCGAGTAGGCTCATTGATCACATGTAATCATACCACAATGTCGTGGGATATTGTCCATAACAGTTATCAGTTTGTCTGGACCGAGTTCATAACATTAATCACTGGTTTGTCTGGTTGAGATTTGAGATGTGATTATCTTAAATGTTTAGCATATAACAAGACTCACATATGATTTTGCTGCCTTCTATATGTAAGTACATGTGGCAACAATTCTTTTTGATTGCTAAAATCTTTGTACATAATGCTGCAGAAACTGAAGTCCTGCTTGAGATCCCTGGGTGAGTGCTCCAGGTGGACAATCTAGAAGGACCAGACAAGGGAGTACTTAACAGAGAGTGCACCCCTTCAGATATCAGAGGTGATTTGCAGACAGCAATGACGAGGGTCCTGTTATTTCAATGGAGGCCGACCGAGTAGTTGTATGCCAAATGGTACTGGGACACACAAAGGCTGGTCTGGCTAATGTGAGAAGACCAACCAATGCCAAGCTGGAGTGGGATCCTTCCAGGACATTCAAGAAATTCTTGTCTTGGGCCATGTGGTAAACACTTGAAAGGAATGATAAATGGGACTTATTGTCTTTCAATGTGGACCCAAACACCAAATGGAAAGTTCACAATTCTACTAACACAATGCAGCAGAGATAGTCCAACTGGCATACCCTCATCCTGGTTCCTGTTCATCCATAACAATATAGAAAGAAAAGGAGGATTGGGGGAAAGTAAGTTCTCTGAACTGGTGAACATTATCTATAGGAACTGTCAAGCGAACAGTTATCACACTCTGTTATGAGTATTGAAGAATAGGATGAAATTGCATACTGCATCAGGAACCATCATGTGAACACTGTTCAGTGTGCGATATACTATAGGCATATGAATAAAAGAAATTGATAATTTGATTGTTGCTTATGTTTCATTTGCCAGCTGTGTAAATGGGGATGTTTCATGATTTTGCCTCAGTTTAATAGCCACACTTATCTTATGAAACCATGCATTGCTTGGGCATCTCAGGAATAAAGAACACTTGTTTCCTTAGCTCTGAGAACGTCTGATGACACATTGATCTGTTATGTCAAAGGTCAAAGTCACAACCAGACAAAAAGTTTGTTTGTGGTCTAAGTCTTCCTTTGGGGAGGGGTCGAAGTTTGAAAAAGGTCGTGCGTGACCTATATATACTATATTTTCCCCTAAATTGCCTTTTCTGCAGAAATCTTTTATGCATATACTGGTTATATTATTTTCATATTTTTGTCAATGATATGTTGAATTCTACCAAAGGACTGCATATTTGGTTTAAGTGCTGGATAGCTCTTTGAAATGTTTTTGAAATATTTATCACTGATATTGAAGGTCAAATTCACACTCTAAAGTGACAACTCATGAAGGGTTGAAGTGTAAGATCAAGGCAATAGTGAAGGGGTCATTCATAAAGTATTTCTGCTATTATAACTAAAATGCCTATTTCTGGAGATATTTGTGAAGTATTAAGCACGTAGTTGTTATATTATTTGAATACACATATATGAGCAGTGGTAACAACCCCAGTGTCAAATTAACTCTCAATCTCTTTTAATAAAAGAATTCACAGTAACTGAGGAAGAGCTCGCTGTAGTATAATAAAACTAGGGTGAGGCAAATTTCAATGAAGTTAGCATTTTTGATATAACAAGTACATGAACCGTTACAAATAGTCTTATTATCATCTCACTAGGACCAAAGGCCCAAGTGAGCACATTGTCAATGACTTTTTCTTTTTCTCAGTACAAACTGGAAGTTTGGACATGAAATTTAAGGATATCATTATACGAGAACTGATGTTTGTTCATCAAATACCATTAACATCTGAAAAGAACAATACAATGTATATGAAATTGAACACTCTCTAAAAATGTTTTAGGAGGATATTTACCATTAAAGTAACACAGAATATTACAACAGCTATCTGTTATGCACAGGCTATCATTATTTACAAGAAACAAGACATGAAGAAAATTTGCTTCCTGATACCTTCCGGAAACCTACCAGATGCCTTCAGCAACCTTCAAATTTCTTGGTATTTTCAAGATATTTTTTTTTATGTGTTTCACACTTAAGTGAACAAAATTCACCCCCCAAATTTTGACATTTTTTTGGGAAGGTTTCTGGAAGGTATCCGGGCCGGATCCAAAATGGGTAGGTATCTGGAAGGTTTCCGGAAGACGGAAACCTACACTTTTTTTGCTGTGAGTTAATTGACTATAAAAGTCCAGTTTCCACCCTTGCCGAACTAGGCTGGTATTATGGAGTTACATTTGGCTGGACTAACGAGTCTATGCTTAGTCCAATCAAAATTGCGCCACGAAATCGAAATCCGGTTTTTGAACTGTCGGGCAGGATTTGCAAAACATGTGCACCGCCAACTCGTTGTCAACAGATATTTTCTGAATCTTTTCATGTTTTTAATCAAGGTGCTCACATAATTTAATGCACTTCACGATGTAAGACCCGTTTTATAACAACATAAATCTTGATTATCGATCAGATCGTCTAGACTGGGCGCCTCCATTTTGTTTGAAGCAAATGCAAGTGGAACGAGAGGTGAAATCTGATTGGTCCATAGGAGAGCCTTAGAAGGGACATAACTCGTTGTAGCCACTGGTGGCGCTACGATCGAGCCCAGGAGTTCCAGCCTAGTTCGGCAAGGGTGGAAACTGGACTTTTAAAGTAGAGATGATTATGGAAATGGTTTTGTTTATCAGTAAGTGGCAGAGAGAAGGATACAGTTAATAATCATGTTCATTTTTATTCTAACTGACAACCAGGATATTAAACTATGATTAGCAAGGGGAACAATGGAGTAGGGTGGTAGGTGTTCATTATGACATCGAATTTCAAACGCAAGGAATAAGACCCAGACTTTCTGGTCTGTGGACACTGATGGGACTAAATCTTGGCGTGTTCACATTGGATAGCTTTTTTTGAATCATTTATGTTCACCATGTGTGCTCCACGTTTGTACGCGTGGCGGTTCTTTGTTTGTTGTTGAACAGTTGTGTTCTAGATATTTGACGGTGGCCTGTAAACATCGAGTCTGGATCAGACAAACCAGCAGTTGATGTCATGAGCGACATCCAACACGGTGTGGGGAATGATGACATGCAATAAACCAAGTCGCCGAGCCTGACAACTCGAACCATTCCTTTTACAAGCATCGGTTATTCCATCGGATCTCATGTAGTAGTAGTAGTAGTAGTCGCCGAGCCTGACCACTCGACCCATTCCTTTTACAAGCATCGGTTATTCCATCGGATCTCATGTGGTAGTAGTAGTAGTAGTAGCAGTAGTAGTAGTAGTAGTAGTAGTCGCCGAGCCTGACCACTCGACCCATTCCTTTTACAAGCATCGGTTATTCTATCGGAGCTCATGTAGTAGTAGTAGTAGTAGTAGTAGTAGTAGTAAAGGTCGTTGACAGTAGTAGTAGATGCAGCAGAACCAGTAGACATGGTTTCTGTTGTTTATCTTGACGCAATAGCAGAAGTAGTTGGAGTTAGTATAATTTACGCTGATTTCAGCGACACTCAAGCCATGTCGGGGATTAATATGAGTTACATGTCGCAGCAGCGGGGGAGACCCGTGAAGATCCGGGTTAGAATAGGTCTTTAGCAACCCATGCTTGCCGTAAAAGGCGACTATGCTTGTAGTAAGAGCCGACTAATGGGATCGGGTGGTCAGGCTCGCTGACTTATTTGATACATGTCATCGTATCCCAATTGCGTGGATCGATGCTCATGATGTTAATCACTTAATTGTCTGGTCCAGACTCAAATATTTACAGACCACCGTCATATAGCTGGAATATTGCGGTGTGTGGTGTTAAACAACAAACAAACAAACAAACAAACAAAAAGTAACCACTCGAACTATTCCTTTAACAAGCAAGTCGGTTATTCCCCTGGAGTTAGTGCAGAAGTAGTAGTAGTAGTAGTAGAAGCAGAACCAGCATCTTCCCGAGGCACTGACTTTTATCGTCAGTTTACTCTCTCGCCTCGGGAAGATGCAGAACCAGTAGACATGGTTTCTGTTGTTGATCTAGACCCAATAGCAGAAGTAGTTGATGGAGTAAGTTGTTACGCTGATTTTAGCGACATTCAAGCCATGTGACAGTTGGGGATCATGAGTTACATGTGGAGGATGTTGCGAGCTGAGGGGTCTTGTCCACCACGAGACAGAAGGTAACTTAGAATGTGAACAAGCTAAATTATTATCTTTATCGTAGTAAGTGTAGGCATCAGTAGCAAGAAGTAGGATATATTGAAGTTATACTTCTCGTTGAGGTATTTAATCAGAGCGCACTTTGACCACAAGAGTGAATTTGACAGCAATTCTGTAACACTGTGCCACGAAGAGTTACCTCCCTTACAACAGTGGCGACTGCTTGCTGGCAGCACTTGAGCTGTAGGAGTTGTGTTCTTTAACAAGTCACCTCACAGTGCGTCAGAAACAAGAAGCACAATGTATAGTTTCACAAAAGAAGCAAAAAAGGCTACATTTTTGTCACAAAAGATATATGACCAGTTGTGTTTGCATATTTACTTATATGCATATATTTAAGAAGTGTGAGTTATTTGGGTTTTACACTGATAAACAGGATTTCAGTTGCATCGCAGCGGGTCATATGCATGTGAGACTGCCACTCAGTGTACGGACACGTACAACGTCCTGTTATATTGACCGTACCGCCAACTGGTGCACACGTCACAGGTCACAGGTGGTGATGACACGTGACTGTTTTCATCCGGGTTCGTGGGTCTTTCTACTTTCACTTTCGCTTTACAGTTGTCGTCATGTAACTTCGTAGTGAAGGAGAAGACAGACGTCTCGAGCTGACCACGTACACAAAATCAGATAGTGTAGAAGTCAGTATTTGGGAAACTGTAAGGTAACACGGCTGTAGAATAGGAGTACCACTTGCTGACAGTTGCTGAAATACGTACTAGCTAAAGATAGTCGCGGTTGTGTGACTGGCATCGATCCAGCGCACCCCAGACAATAACAGCACTACGCATACTCTGTGTCATAAATCACAAGGTCATTCGGAAATGCCATCACCTGCACCCCAGACACTAACAGCACTGCACATACTGTGTGTCATAAATCATAAGGTCATTCGGAAATGCCATCACCTGCACCCCAGACACTAACAGCACTGCACATACTCTGTGTCATAAATCACAAGTTCATTCGGAAATGCCATCACCTGCACCTACATCGAAACACATATTCGATATCACTGAAACCACAACTCGTACATCTCACAGACATCACTATGTCACTGACCTCCGCCATACATTGTATGTCACTGACTCCCCCAACACAGTCTGTATGTCAATATCTTGCTCGTAACGACTCGGCGTACATGGGCTCACACAAAGGGTAACATCACATCATATATCCCTCAATATGCCTTAACTAATGATGTATCGCGCCTGGAAGGGAACTGCCTTATACCCCAACAAGCTGCACTTAGATTTCTGAGCAGGGTAATATATCCCTTATACTCTGCGTCGAAGCATCAAACCGCACGTTGTCAACCTCGGATCAATCGAACGTCTTTTTTGTATATATCAATTTGTTATAATTCTTTTACAGTGACATATAATCAATATATCCGTCCATATTCCATAACATATAATCCACATATTTATAATTCTTTTACAATCACAGATTAAAACATTTCAGAAAGATAAATTCGTTGTAGCTGTATCACTCGGGGTACATGTGGTTTATGCGTCCCTCGTTAGGTTTTATGCCACGAGCCGGAGGCGTCAAGTTTCATATATTGTAATGATCACCTTGCAATTGAGATGGCTCACGTGTATCTCCAACAGGCAAAACATTCCGCGTGTGTCACGCATTGGTGACTGATATAAGGGTAACGCTTTTTTTCAGGGCATTATCATTTGCAGAAGCCGGAGGCCTTACATTAACTGCCCGACAAAGGAGGACGGTTGAAAAGACCGAGGACAACATATCCGTCCATATTCCATAACATATAAACAATATATCCGTCCATATTCCATAACATATAACCAACATATCCGTCCATATTCCATAACATATAACCAACATATCCGTCCATATTCCATAACATATAACCAACATATCAGTCCATATTCCATAACATATTATCAATATATCCATCCATATTCCATAACATATGATCAGTATATCCGTCCATATTTGACGTTCCATACTTCCATTCATGTTCCATTTCCATGAATGTTTTATGGCCATTTTCAATGACAAATTGCATCAGTTTCCTTGAATCTCAATGTAAACGGAAATTAAAATAGCTTCAAAGGTGTCTGTGTATTTAGTTCATTCAGTTGGGGATTGTAAGTGTAATATCAGTATTTTCCATCCACAGACAACATGGCGGCGGCTAGTGCCACTGCAGGCAACAACTACCAGTCATCGACTGGTTTGTATATCGTAACCTTTGTTGGTGACGTCACAAAGGCACAAGCAGATGGCATTGTTGTCAGCGAGGGGAAATCATTTCGGGGAATGGGATATGTTGCAACAACTCTTGTTAGTATGGACTCAGAGTTCGAAACAAATCGCAACAAGCTGATTCAGAGAGAAAAAGCCAATTTCACACCATGGAGGGTGTACACAACTGGGAGTTGCGCCAAGTTCCTATCGGTGTTTCATGCCATTGTCACACCCCCGGGAGAAAAACAACCAATCCAGGAGTGGAAGGGGAAAATGACCTCATTATACAAGAAAATACTCCAAGAAGCTGAGAATGAGGGTATCCATATCCTGGCGGTACCTTTACTAGGTTCTGGTAAGACATTAATCTGAAAAGTACAATGTAAAGGGATGTGGTGATATGTTTCTATGTGTTTATCCTAAATGGCCGTCTGGACCAATGACCGACATGTCACGTCTCAATATGTAATATTTAATTTGATCTCGTTCAACATTTCAATATCCCCAAATATGCTTGTCTAAAGTGGCATGTGTGTTTAATTTAAATATTAGAGACAAAACCCTTTCCTTAATCTCAAGAAATCGCTGTTAAAAGATTGTCCATTAATCAATTTTCGATTTGACTGGGGGCGGTCGGGTAGCCTAGTGGTTAAAACGTTCGCTCGTCACGCCGAAGACCCGGGTTCGATTCCCGACATGGTACAATGTGTGAAGTGAAGCCCATTTCTGGTGTCACCCACCGTGATATAGCTGGAATATTGCTAAAAGCGTCGTAAATCATACTCACACACTCACTCGATTTCGACTGTAACATAAGCCTGGTTGAATATGAATCGCTGTCAAATTGCGATGGTGCCAGGTCCCTAAAAACTGAAACTCTCCACGCTACAGTCATGCGTCTGTATACATCTGCAGGAAAAGTGATCGCACTTTCCATGTTAGGTTGCACTTCATGTATTGTGCGGGGGCACGTGTGGCCCAGTCGTCAAAGGCATCGCAATTCGTTGTGCAGAGTTGCGTCCCTTGGATACCCCAGAACTATGAATGTGGTTTCGAATCCCGGCTCGCCCCGATTATGTTTCTGGGTTTGTCAGTACCATACCCATGCTCGTGGGTTTTTCAGAAGTGGTAAACGTCTGTGAACTGCATCACTTCGGGCTTTCCTCCCACATTAAGCTGACACGCCATGATATATAACTGGAATATTGTTAAAAGCTGCGTTAAACCCAACACACTCACTCATGTTTTGTGCACGCAATTTAATAAATCAACTTGGTTTGTTTTCCTTTCTAAAAGCAATAACTATGACTTTTGGATGCGAATGTAACTGTACATGCATTTTATGGGCAACAGTATGCATATGTTCAGTGACCTACGTATCCCATGCATACATGAAAGAAGTAACACTCAGATATAGCGAGTTTTGTGATGTTGGTTTGTTTGTTGTTTAACGCCACATTCAGCAATATTCCAGTAAGGTCTGTGAATATCGCTTCTGGTTCAGACAATCCAGTGATTGACGAAATGAGCATGGATCCACGCAATTGGGATACGATGAAATGCATCAACCACGTCAGCCAGCCTGACCACATCGATCCCGTTAGTCGCCTCTTACCACAAGCATAGTCGCCTTTTACGGCTATGTGATGTACACGTGTTTTGGAAACTAAACCTTTGTTTCTAACTAAAGCCAAAGCCTGTGAATTTTCTAATCGTTTATACAGGTAAAGGCAAGGTAAAACCAGAAGAAGCTGTTGAGGTGGCAGTCCATGCTATGTTCTCTTATAAGAGAAAGTCTCTCGTCAAGGTAATGCTCGTATCAGACAGTAAGGACATTGTGGACCATCTGGCTACTCAGTGTGCCTACAACAGCAGTGTGAAAGGTGGAAAACCCCTATTGTCAAACACTAAAACAGGTCGCCAGCTTCCTCGACCCTCATCTTCAAACGCGAAATCAAAATCAAGACTTGGTGGAGGGACCGATAGGAGTTGTTCAAGCCTGAAGAGACAGAATGGAGACAGATCAGATTCCAGCAGAAATAGCGATAACAATGGCACATGTGGCGGTGGAATGGTACTCCGTAGTGGACAACAACTACCGCCACGCCCACAAAGTAAGGGACAGCCATCATGTCCCAAAGGAAATGGTAAAGGAAAGATAACTACCACGAAAAGTAATCCATCATCTGGCTGTAGACCCGCCTCAAGAACAAGCCACAGTGGCAGTGGGAACAGTCATGTCGAAAGTGAGTATAGTCACAGAGAGAGAAGAACATTGTATGACCAGGGTGACGCCCAGGAGGTGGAACATGATCTGAAGACGAGACCAGAGAGAACACGGGGTGGTAGGAACCATCATGTCGGAAGGGGGAACAGTTACAGTGGAAGTGGGTACCGTCATAGTGGGAGAAGCACGTGGTATGACCAGGGTGACGCCCAGGAGGAGGAACATGATCTGAAGACGAGACCAGAGAGAACACGGAACAGTGAACTGAAGAGGGCCAATGGGCAAGCTGGTAAGGCGTATTACGAGACTAAAATGGGTGAACATGATGAACCAAAAGCACTGCAACACCGCTGTGATATCAGTGGCGGGGCCATACCAAAGATAAAAAACAAGGCACAATATAATGAGGATGATGATGAGAATGTGGTGAAACAAAAGGGACTTGCTCCTCAAAGACGTAATTATAAAGAGGAAGATGATGATGACATTAATAATGATGATGATGGGGAGGAGGACGAAAGTGTGACCCATCGTGGTGATGACGACGATTATAATGGTGGCGGCGGTGCTGCTGCTGACGATGATGATGCAAAGACAATTAAACGTTTGGAACATCCACTGATGATGAGGGGTGACGGGGTAATTTCAAGCAAGAAATCTGAGGAAGGAGCTGTTTTGAATACTGAATTTAGTGAGCCTGACACCATTCTTAATACAACTGGTGAGCATATTCCATACAGAAATAAAAAGGGATTCAGTAAAGGGAAAATTCCATCAGACAAGACATCAGGTCCAACTGAAACACAACTGAATGGTTATGAAAGTGGCTCTGGGAAATCCCCCAATACATGCGATGGCGTTACTCAGCAAATGGCAAACTTAAGTATCTCTGACGTGACTGGACAACAAAGCGCACGCAATAGTGAAAAGGTGAATGAAAATAAACCAGCATCTGAGATCTGTCCAATATGCCTTGATGAAATATCAGACCCAAAGATGCTGGACAAATGTGGACACGTGTTCTGTAGAATCTGTATCGAGAACAGTTTTGCCAGTTACAAACCCGTATGTCCCAGCTGCAACATGGTGTATGGCGTCCTGACGGGGAACCAGCCGGAGGGGACCATGGATGTCGCCTTCAGCGGGGAGCACCTGCCTGGTTATGAGACCTGTGGAACAATTACCATCACGTACCGCTTCCCTAATGGGAGACAAGGGGTGAGTTTTTGCCAATTTTATTTATGGAAGGTAAAAAGTTATTATTTTCAAGGTTGTCAAGGGATGGACTTTTGTTTGTTGAAGATGAGGGATAAGTATTTCCCCTCACTTTTGAAGAATAGGTGAGGATATTACATGTTCTCTGGTTGGAAACAAGAATAATAAACGCTTGCAATGTATGTATATCGGGTTCCTATTAATAGGTTAAATTTGTTGAGTTGTGGAGTACTAACATTCAAAAAGATATCAAAGGCAAAATTCAAATAGTTTCAGACTATGGGCTCATGTTTTGCTCAAAATTGCCCCCAAACGAATTCGGGCACTCTTGCACGTGGACGCTTAAAAATACACGTATACAAAGCTGCCGAAGCTGCCCAGTGGGGATCCAACCACTGCAGTTGATCCATAAGCCCCTGACTCTTACATGTTGGATAAAATAAAATAAAATAGCAAATGTTTGTCAGGAACGCCACAGTTTGTTTGTTGTTTTACGCCGCACTCAGCAGTATTCCAGCTATATGACGGCGGCCTGTAAATAATCGAATCTAGACCATACAATCCAGTGATTAAATCATGAACATCGATCTACGCAACTGGGATACGATGACATGAATTGACAACCTGACAACCCGATCACATTCGTCTCCTCTGTTAATCCGACATACCTTGGTTGCTTAAGACCGGATCAGCCGGATCTCCATGGGTCAGGAACGTCACTGAACCAGAGGCTACGGACACATGGCAAACAGAATGGCATTACTAGCATGGTGTACTTTACAATAATTCTATTGTGAAACAGTTGTTTCGCCATTGCAAGTAACCTGAAAATAAATCATGTTGACCTTATATTCAACTAGGATATTGTATTGTTTGTTGTTTAACGCCGCATTCAGCAATATTCCAGCTATATGACGGCGGTATTCAACAAGGAAAAAAACACTGACATTGTGGATCCTGTATGATAAATTTTGGCCATTATCGATACAATTTCATACCTATCATAGTTTGTTGTCACTCTCTGAACATTGTCAGCCTGGTCACCCCAACCCAGGACAGTTGTACAAGGGCACCACACGTGTAGCCTACCTGCCAGATTGCGGAGAAGGAAGAGATGTTCTCCGCCTCCTGAGGAAGGCGTTTGACAGGAAGTTAACCTTTACCGTCGGTCGTTCTACAACTACCGGTCAAGAGAATGTCGTAACGTGGAACGACATCCACCATAAGACGAACATGGAAGGTGGACCTACGAGGTAACCCCTTATGGTTATATGATTGAATCTTTATTTAGATTTAAAGTTAAAAATCGCAGAGTTCTTTCTCATGACGCTTGGAACACCCGGATATTAATCTATCAGAACGATGGGGATTCTCCCACGTCTGCGTCAACTAATTCAACCGCTATTCCTAATTGGTGGGTAAGTAATCGGGTTAGACTAAACACGTAGCTGCTGTGTCAACATTGGTTTTGTTTGTTTGTTGTTTAACGCCGCACTCCGCAATGTTTCAGCCTGATGGCATCAGTGTCGAAAGGACAATGGACCTGTTAGAAATGTCTGCCAATGTACCCTGCCGACTGGCAGTTATTTTCAATCCTACACAGCTATCTCTTCCACATATCTTGTGTGTTTTCATATATAAAAGTACAACTTTAATCCCTAGAGTACATTGACATTAGTGGCATCCGATGGCATGATGATGCTAGACGATGAACGGATGCGATACCCACAGCTCACTACAGTAGATATGTTTCCATGTTTGCATCTAGATTCGGCTACCCTGACGAAACCTACTTGACCCGAGTGAAGGAAGAACTGGCCAGCAAGGGAGTGACTGGAAGCAGTTAGAAGCAGACAGGAATGTCCCTGTGATATTGTAGCATCAAAATATGTGTATACTTACTGATGGTAGAACGTACCGAAGCAATGACATCAAGTGCAGGATAATGCAGGTCCCTGGCTGTGTTCGTTCAGTTTGCTTAATTTTTCAACGGTGTTCATTTCATTTGTCTTCTTTTGCTCCATTAAGTATGAGATTACGATAAAGACAAAGACAAGTGTGAACTCATTCTTGCGTTTCTTACGTGTTTCTCTCTGTGATATGGTTGGAATGGTTGGAATGTATCTTATAGGGGCGAAATCACATATTTGCCCAAGTCTTTCTTGAACGCCATGCTTCTCGTTCATGACTTTAGAGATCTTGGTGAATAAACAAGGGAGACTCCGACTAGCATATAATTATGTTTATTTTATGTTTAGCCACGACTTATTTAGGATGTTTTTTATCTTCTTTTTTTCTATATTGCCTTTTTAACCCAAAGATAAAGATATCTTATCGTTTCTAACCATGTACATTAACAAGCTTAATTATACACGCTTATCCTATGTTTAATAAACTATGCAGTCAGACCACTTTAACATTATGACAGCCATGCTCTGGACGTCAACACCGCCCTGTTTACCATGTTGTCACATGTATACCACTGAAAGGACGTTAGGGACCATCGATTCTTTCCTTTTACTATTGTGAATATGTCATGGCATGGCGGATGAAAAGAATCGTGTTGTCCTTTAGTTCTTTTGAGTAGTATGTATGAATGTCAGCCACAATGTAGCTAGCTACACGATGAAACCAGACACAGGGATCCACTATTGCATCCTGTATGTTTTTATTGTCACCAGGGAAATATTACGGATAAACAGGATTTGTTATTAACGAATGATGGGTACCAAACACTGTAGATGTGTCAATGTGAGGTTACCGGGCTGTGGGTCTTCAGTGTACATATTGTAACATGTCCTAGTTTCACTGCCACACGCGCGGTTAGCTATGCCTTGTTGGTAACCACCTCCACCCCAAACCCGCAGTGGCTAGAGCGTGTGCCCGGAGAACGCAGGGTCAGTAGTGCGATGCCCTGAAACGCCATACCGAGAGACGTTACAAAAGATGGTACTTGTTGTTTCCCTGCCTGGCGCTCGACAATAAGGGAATAAAACAACTAGTCGAGTCAGTATACTGTGTCTGTGTGGGGTATTCATGGTATCTCAGTATCCATCGTCATTAGTCGTTAAACCCCATTTCCTCAACTCAAAAAGAGCTTTACTGTTAATTCAGAATACCTAGGCACTTAACGTGAGGCTGCAGCCTCGATCCATTCACAACTTGGGATATTTAATTTTGATCGTAGATGCATCGATACCCATGCTGTCATTTATATTTGCAGCCGCGATCCATTTATACCTATATTTAAACATTGAGGGTAAAGCTTATTTCCATCGTCGAGCCGTCAATACATGTAATGCACCGAGGCATTTGACATGAAGAATGTTTCTATCGTCGAACCATCAATACCAAGGAAGAAAGTATATTTTATTGTTTATTACTTGCAGCGTCGAATCAGTTTGCCGATTACACTTGATTTTTGAAATGTTATATTGAGCTTTAGACAATCACATCTCATATATTGAAAGTACAACACTGTGTATTCTAAATGGTAACTGTTAACGTTAAGATGCTTGAATAAAGTTCTGTATAACCATTTTCTTACGATATTATTTTGACCTTTCGTCCAGTGAGGATAGACAGACTAGGTCATCAGCATGCCGAACCTGACCATCATGAGGTCCATGTGGTGGGACCTGACAAGGCTCTGACCCACAATGTCACCCTAGCGAAATGACCTATCGTATATATACTAAAGTATTGGAGGGGGCACGGGTGGCCCAGTCGTCTAAGGCGCCGCGCTTCGCTGTGCAGAGTTGCGTCCCTTGGGCACGCCAGAAACCTATGATTGTGGGTTCGAATCCCGGATCGCCCCTATTATGTTTCTAGGTTTGTCAGCACCATGCCCGTGCTCGTGGGTTTCACCGAAGTGGTAAACGTCTGAGACCTGCATCACTTCGGGCTTTCCTCCGAAATTGCTGACACGCCGTGATATAATTGGAATACTGTTAAAAGCGGCGTTAAACCCAACTCACTCACTCATAACTAAAGCATTGAGGTTTCGATAGTCGGAGCTCTAAGATACTCTATCCTTTTCACGACCACCTGGTGTCATCACTGATTTTTAGTGATTCATTCATACAATTGTTACAAATATTTGCCTTTTACACCCAGTGGACAGATAACCGAGACTAATATTCTCGTATTAACGTTGACGTTTTATATTCTGTGGAAGGGCGCCCTGGGTTGTAGCTACTGCTACCAGCAACAGACGTGATGTAGCTAGAATCTTGACTGGCATTGGCGTATAACAGCATTCTCTCTCACTCGCTGACTTGGATAGAGACCTGTGAAGATCCGGGCTGGAATAGGTCTTCAGCAACCTATGCTTGCCGGAAAAGGCGACTATGTTTGTCGTAAGAGGCGACTAACGGGATCGGGTCGTCAGGCTCGCTGACTTGGTTGATGCATGCCATCGATCCCAATTGCGTGGATCGATGCTCATGATATCAAGCACTGAATTGTCTGGTCCAGACTCGATTATTTACAGACCGCCGTCATATAGCTGGAATATTGCTGAGTGCGGCGTTAAACAACAAACAAACAAAACGGACAAACAAAACTTGGGTGGAACCACGTGCGGGCTCACCCTTTTGACTTCCTCGTATGAGGATACGTGCAGTAGATGTCGTTATGTCCCGAGCTTGTAATCTCCATGAAGAGAATAGTGGTCATTAACTGTTAACATTTATCTTACTTCCTTTTGGTTTTTCCTCTAACATGAAGGTGACGAGACGTGGTACAACTGAACTGCTATTCATAGTGTTGTTGCACAGATGTCACTGTTATCGTTATCTGATAGCTCTGATAGATTCAATGTCTGGTAGAGCAACGGCAATTCCGTATGACCGTATACACATAGGTTCAAGGTTCAATCAGAGACCATATAATAGAAGGAAATAGATATAAATGTCCCGGAAGACACACATGTTCAGCAAATAATTTGCAGCCAACTGACATGTGCTAATGAGAGATATCATAAAAAAATCATTGTAATCCGCTAAGAGACGTCCTTTTATTCGATTGTCGCTGGTCGTAGTCGGAGAAATCTCGGCTGAGGGAAATAACTCTTGCCCCGGATATTATGTGATGTTGTTGACGTGGTTACCAGAATGGTCAGTCGTGAATGTCTGCGCATCTATTGCGCATCTGCAGGGTACAGGGAGGTTAACAGCAGGGTGTTGGGGTGTATCAGTTACATGCCAGACCGTAGCGCTTATGGGGAGGGCCGTCCCTCTATTATATGATCTCTGGTTCAATACATCGTTTTTGGATTCGAACACTGAACAACGAGTGTATCATTGTTCATACGGATGTGACAGACCGGCCAGATCGTGTCTTTCTGAACACGTGCTAAGTACAACATCTACAAATTTAGTTTGCAACATGGACCGTTGGGTGTTGGAGGTACCCATTTCAGAAAACGTCCGTCACTTGAGTGGCACGGAATGCACAATGCCCATATTAGGCATAAACGATCGTCATCGAGCATTGGGCATGATTGAAGCTGCTATGACGACAACACGAGGGTCACCGCACGAGGTAATGCATAGCCTGGTGCGCATAATCGCCCAAGAAACGGAGGTCCTCGACGTGTAACGTCATTACATGGTTATCGCCCTTTCTCACTCGCGCCAACGTCACCTACCAGCGTTAACTACTGCCAGGCAGACTGTTGCAAACTGCGTGAGTGGTGGGTGTCAGCGGTTGCTCCAAACTTTTCGCGACCACCAGGCATCATCACTGATTTTCAGCGATCCATTGTCGCCTCTCTTTTGTCTATGACGCCCAATGGAATCTGTTTCGGCAGATAATCGAGACTGAATATTCTCTGGCGTTGGCGTATTGTATTTACACAACAGGTAACTCGCACATTCTTTCCAGCAACCGGTACCAAAACCACTGAATTGAATATAAAGTCTGATTGATAAACACATGGCTAGTCTGGGACCGTTAACGATACAATACAATTATACCTCATGTCTGATTGTGGAGTTGAGATGGATCAGCTGTTTATATATGCTCAACCTTCGTTTTACATTTCATGCTCTGATTTATGGAAAAAAAAGTTAACATATCCAGTATTCCAGCTATATGACGGCGGTCTGTAAATAATCGAGTCTGGACCAGCCAATCCAGTGATTGACATCATGAGCATCAATCCCACTACCGCCCACCCCAGCCCCCTACCCCTACCGCCCACCCCAGCCCCCTACCACTACCGCCAACCCCAGCCCCCTACCCCTACCGCCCACCCCAGCCCCCTACCACTACCGCCAACCCCAGCCCCCTACTCCTACCGCCCACCCCAGCCCCCTACCCCTACCGCCCACCCAAGCCCCCTACCACTACCGCCCACCCCAGCCCCCTACCCCTACCCCTACCGCCCACCCAAGCCCCCTACCACTACCGCCCACCCCAGCCCCCTACCCCTACCACTACCGCCAACCCCAGCCCCCTACTCCTACCGCCCACCCCAGCCCCCTACCCCTACCCCTACCGCCCACCCAAGCCCCCTACCACTACCGCCCACCCCAGCCCCCTACCCCTACCCCTACCGCCCACCGCAGCCCCCTACCACTAAGGCCCACCCCAGCCCCCTACCACTACCGCCCACCCTAGCCCCCCTTCCCCTACCGCCCACCCCAGCCCCCTACCACTACCGCCCTACCACCCACCCCAGCCCCAAACCCCTACCCATACCGCCCACCCCAACCCCCTACCACTACCGCCCACCCCAACCCCCTACCACTACCGCCCACCCACGCCCCCTACCCCAACCCCCTACCCCCTACCCCTACCGCCCATCCCAACCCCCTACCCCTACCGCCCACCCCAGCCCCCCAACACCTATTACTACCGCCCACCCCAGCCCCCTACCACTACCGCCCACCCCAGCCCCCCAACACCTACCGCTACCGCCCACCCCTGCCCCCCAACACCTACCACTACCGCCCACCCCAACCCCCTACCCCAAAAATATCAATTGGTCGCCCCCTTATGCCAGCTATGCCAGCTATGCCAGCTATGCGTTTGAAATATAATTAAATGACAATCCTGCCCAGGATATCTTCTTAAGTTATCACATCTCTTTCTATTACTCAATGATATGATAGTAATGTGATAGATTTGGATTTTCTTGATCGACCCGTGAAGATCCGGGTTAGAATAGGTCTTCATCAACCCATGCTTGCCGTAAAAGGCGACTATGCTTGTCGTAAGAGGCGATTAACGGGATTGGGTGGTCCGGCTCGCTGACTTGGTTGATGCATGTCATCGTATCCCAATTGCGTAGATCGATGCTCATATCAATCACTGGATTGTCTGGTCCATACTCGTTTATTTACAGACCGCCGTCACATAGCTGAAAAAAAAGTTGAGTGCGGCGTTGAACAACAAACAAACATACCGACTCACACAATCACCTACTTATGATTCTTGGTTTGTCCCCACTATAACCGTGCTCACAGGATTACGCTTCCCCCTATATTGAGCGAGGCGAGGTGAGATGAAATTTGGTTCAACGTTGCGTCCAAGATTATTGCACTTATATAGCGACGTCAATACACGTGTGTGTGTGTGTGTGTGTGTGCTTGTAGCTTAGACCCTTAATGCCGAGCGCCAGACAGGGTAACAACAAGTACCATCTTTTAACGTCTTGTGGTATGAGTCTGCCAGGGATCGAACCCCGGACCTTCCGCTCTCCGGGCGGACGCTCTACCACTAGGCCACGGAGGCGGTCACACTGAGCGAGACAAGTCACAATAAAATTCCCTTTCTGCACAAGACACCGGTGTTACAACTTCAATATGGACCAATGTCACCAGTGAGACTAAAAATAGCATGATCATGTAAGCCTCGTTTGTTTATTACGAAACGCGTGGAAGGAATGCTCCATGACTACCTCTGACACGTCATAACGAATAAACAACAATCAAATGTTACATACGCGTAGCCTATACATAGGGAGATTGCTATCAATCTATTCTGCAACGTGAGATCATGTTTTTCCCCCAGACAGATAAGACCAGGAAGTAGGTGCAGAGGGAGTTCACTCAAGTTTCTTTTCAAAATGATGTCTACGAGATCACAGCCTGACAGCGTTTTTAAACACGGTGGAATTTAGGTAAGTCTGTGTATTCAATTTTCGGGCAGAATATACTAGTACCAAAAGACGTTAAAATATGGTACTTGTTGTTACCCTGTCTCGCGCTCTGCATTAAGGGGCTAAAACAAGGACTGGTCGGCTCGGAGTCAGTATACTGTGTCTGAGTGGTGTATTCATGTTAAACTGCGGAATGGTATCTCAGTGAGCAAGCACTATCATTCGGCATCAGTCTGGATTAGTACAAGCAGCCACACACACACGTGCATGCACGTCGCCATATAAGTGCAATAATCTTGGACGCGACGTTATACCCCATTCACCTCACCTCATCATTTATCTCAGTGAGTGCGTGAACATGGTTAAACGCTTGAATACGATGTCAGTGATGTCGCGGGTGTCAGCTGTCAGTAGGAAAGAATACCAAACGTGACGTAGGGCGTCGTCGCGTACGAGTATTGTGTTGACAAATCTTGGATTCGAAACAACGTCCAGCATATCCTAGTGCGGCGAAGGGAGGTCACAGTATATAGGAATCGCGGCGCCATAGATTACTATGTCGCCCGTGCTCTCTAATTTTGTCAGATATTCTGTATCATAATACACACACTTTGTTAGAGGAAGAGGACAATGTGTGCTAGATAACTCTAATCCGTGTCCTGTTCCCTACGTTCAAGTCTATTGCTCATGACCCACTTTATTATTTCATAATGTAACACACGAACTACGTCCTTTATTTATGAACATAAATAAAAGTTCAAAATGCTGACAAATTTCCTACAAGGAGGTACCTTATGTGTGTGTGTGTCATCGTCTATCGTTGTATTCTCAGATAACCACTGGTTGTCACAGTACATAAACACAAACGTATAGGTCCCGGCGCTTGTCAAAAAAGGGGTTGATAATATTGACTTAAATGACTAGACAGGTCTAGCAAAGCCTACTGCATCTAGAACATCATACATTTTACACTTCAATCGACCCACGAAACAATGTCGACATTGGTTGAGGCAGAGGTACAGCTATCAGCAGCTATCAGGTGAGTAAGTACATTGACAATCCCTCTAGATAGGAAAGTGAACCATAGACTTCGTGGGTGCTCGTTGACACAAAAGCAGCCATTTGATATTCTTGAGGGGTATGTGTATGGGACTGAGATTTTGTGTATGAATGCTAGATATCTTTTCATTTACAGCTGCAAAAATAAACCCAGTGGGTCGGTGTGGTCGGTGCTATGGTTCTTGTTGACCATTTCTTGATTAGTATACATCATACTGTTTGAAGAACTATTTGTAGCATCATCATCATCATCATCATCAGCAGCAGCAGTAGTAGTAGTAGTAGTTGTAGTTGTAGTAGTAGTAGTAGTAGTTGTAGTAGTAGTAGTAGTAGTAGTTGTAGTTGTAGTAGTAGTAGTAGTAGTAGTAGTAGTAGTAGTTTAGGAATAGAACTGACCATAACAGAAGTATATTTATAAAGACTTGGGCTACTAGCCCTTCATCTTACATTTACAAACTAAACGCAGGTAGATCTATAAATGGCGGAGGGAGATCAATAAAAAATACTTCTAATGATAAACATGATTTTATATATTTTGCGGTATACAAATCGCTGTTTTACTGTTAGAACTGTTACTACTGTTCTATCATTCCTAGACTTTGGACAAAGTTTAAATTTTCAACTTTTATGACACCCCTATTTTCACCAATCGCCATGCCTGTGAACTGTGTTTAGAGTTACCTGCCCTTTACGGGTACCCGTGGTTTGGGACATGACCTTCCAGACAACGGAACAAGGGCTGGAATTTAAAATGAAATCTTTCTTCGCCAAGTTCTGCAACAAGTAACAATGTGTTCTATAGCTTGTGATGGCATGATAGGAAGAGCCCTTCATCTATTTGGTCGTGTGATCTTGAAATATTTACTATATGCACCTTTTTGTTATTCTCCTTTGTCATACTGTGATAGTTTTATTTCGACATACGAAGACAATGAACGTGACCCCAGTGTCTGTTCCGGATTGTAGGTGTGAGTATGATGGCAGCTCCCCGACAGACGTCATGTTCAAGACCTACCCAACAGGTCTACGTGACCCCCTACAGCCTTAAAGTCGTCACGTACGTCGGTGACGTCATGGCCTTACCAGCCGATGCAGTTGTGACGAGTGAGAAACAGGACCTGGATCGGGAGAGCCAGGTGACAACGACACTTAAAAAGAGTTCCAAGGAATTTGCAGAGAAAAGGAATGAAAAGAAGAGAACAACGAGACGGTTCAAGTCGTGGTCAGTTCACACCACCCACCTGTTGAATCCATCGCCGTTTACATTTGTCTTCCACGCCATCGTCAAACGTCCAGGCGAAACCAACAGGTGGGTGATGAAAATGAGGAGGTTATACAAGACGATCATGAAGAAGGCCGAGAAGTATGGCGTGCAAGTCCTGGCCGTTCCTCTTCTTGGTACAGGTGAGGTAGCGTCTTATGGTTTATGCTGCTAGAAGAAAGGTTCCAAGGCTATCAGACATCCTGTACTTATTGGCCATTGGTGTGAGAGAATACATGTCCAGTGTATAACATCAAGAAATATCCTTATATTGATTTCTTATTTTGCAATCCATAATATTGTCTAAATAACGTGTTTTTTCAAAGAATAGTGACAGTAAGTCGGGGGTGGCGAGGGGCAAGGGGGCTAGGGCCCAGTTTTTTGCCAGTATATCATATGAACTATTCTTGGAATTATTGCACATGAGGCCTCATAACATAAAAACAACCTTAGCTAATGTTAACCTTAACCAGTAAAGTAAGACTTAAGATTACCTTAGTCTGTCGTTATGCCCGTTTCACATAGCAACCGCAGCTCGATCTCAATTCGTTGTGTCAACCTTAGCGCTAAGTTGCAATCGTAAGGCTGTGCGACATCGCTCGCTGAAACCATGACTATTTCTAACACAATTTAGTGGCGAGTTTAGGACCAGTTTACCTAATCGTCAAATATTCTAAACATGAACGGTTACGAAACAAACGCTGATTGCCACCACATTGTTATCTACCTTTCTTAAATAGCATGCCTATATATTGTTTAAAATCCACCTGTAATTACACCCCGATGAAATCATATAGCACAACAAATTTTGTATAAACAATTTAGACCAATTCTCCTCAGCTACGAACATGAATCCAGTCGCGGAAAGATTCTCAAGATAAAAAGAGACTCATGCCTCGACAGTTTATCTCAGTGATCATCACACATTTCTTGATAGGGTCAATTTTCTTTGTACATATAGGTGGAGGCCAATTCTCAAACACAGGTGGAAATACCAGTTGTTACTATATGTACTATGAACGGCACGATATATACATTCACAGTGTATTTCCGATCAGAACTCAATCTTATCTTACTTATACCTCCTTATGCCCTTATTATACACAGCAAACTACGTTTATAACGAACACGCTTATAACGAACTGACCGATGTAACAAACTTATTTGTTAGTCCCGGCAATTTGTTGTATATATAATGTAAATATGCTTATAACGAACTACGGTTATTACGAACTAAATTTGTGGTCCCTTTGACTTCGTTATAACTGTAGTTTACTGTACTTCATTTGATAATTCTAATCCGATATTAGCAGTACAGTAAATAAACGAGTATGGACCAGACAATCAAGTGATTGATGTCATGGGCATCGATCCACGGAATTGGGACATGCATCAACCAAGTCAGCGAGCCTGACCACCCGATCCCGTTAGTCGCCTCTTACGACATACATAGTCGCCTTTAACGGCAAGCATTGGTTGCTGAATACCTATTCTATGGTATGTAATGACCGTAGCGTTGTACATGAACTGACGGCCAAAAGAAATTTTACCGCTTTAAAAATGGAATTGCAAAAATTCAAACTAATCAATTCAAAACACATCGTCCAAACACAACAATGCTCTATGCAGTAAGTGATACATGTCCACGGCACGATTTCCGTGTGTAAAAAATGAGAACAAGTGAAAAACACGTGCCTCTTCAGCAGCCGAAACTACAAGTGCAATAAGGGTATATAAATAATACGGACGGCATGTCAGACACTCACACTGATAACAAAACAAACACCACAGAAATGCCCACATTGCAAGAACGTTTGGTTGCTTCCGTGTTGCTGTATCTAACATGATGCAACGTTAGAGACAGACCAGGCAGACATCAGACAGGCCAAGAACAGACCAAGGGTAACTACGCCCAGTGAAGACAGGCACTTGCGTACTTTGCATCTCCGAGACATCAGCAACGAATGCCTTAATATGGTTAGTCGACAGATAGTGGCCAGGCTACTACAGACATTACTGAGGACAGTTATTGACATCGTAGTCAGAGATTGAAATGGGCCCGGACTGTACGTCGTTGGAAGCGACGTGACAGGCAGAGGATCGTCTTCACTGATGAAAGTCGGTTTTATCTGTTCAGAGCTGATGGTAGACAGGGGTGAACGAACGGCGGCGCGTTGCCGCCCGGAGGTCGTGCCGTGTGGTAAAGAACGTGTTATGTTGTGGGGATAAATTTGTTGGCAAGAGAGAACACCACTGGTCATTAACTGACATTTGACAGCTCTGCGTTACATGAGAGACATTCTTCGTCCGCTGTCCTACCATTTCTTCAACAGCTGCCACGTGGTGTCCTTTATCAGCATGACAACGCTATGCCCATACATCCCGAATCGTTACAGAACTTTCTTACAGCCAACATACTCAACGTGTTGCCGTGGCTTGCACGCTCCCAAGACATGGCCCCCATTGACCTTTTTCACACTTTCGCCATCTTGGATCGAAAACGAGGCTTGGAGAGCATAGCTCCATGCAGTGTGAGTCGCATCAGCTGATAGGGAACAGACAGCATGTTGTGCAATTCACTGATTGACATTTCAAACAAACAAAAAATGGTATCCTCTGTATCTTATACAGAAAATATTTCACATTTAATCCTGAGGTCCAACTAAAATATGCCTGTAATACACTGGAATTAGCATTTTGCTGTCAGGATCTCGGATGTGAATCGAAAGGTGCATCTCGAGATACGTATTTCAGAAATAGATTGTCTTATCATAACCTCGTCGGCATATGGGTACAATGTGACAGTACATTCAATGACAGAAGTTGTGTATCGTAAATGAACCGCATAACATGAAACACGTCAGTGTACTTTTGCAAATTCGCTCAGTCAATGCTTGGCTTGGCGACCTCGAGATCGTCGATCATGTTTATTTCACGTTTCATAGTGGTGTTTGCTGCACAACGCACTGCCATTTTGCCATGAGTCCAGTTGACAAAAAACACTTTTTCTGCTATGATTTTCATCTAAACATATTATGATGTAAATGAAATTAGTTCAAAAAATAGCTCGTGTGTCAAAATAAATATTCAGAAGGGGCGATAACTCTATCCAGTGTGTACAATGACAGATGATACTTTACTTGTTCTTCAAACATCACTTATTTAACCGATTTTACCGATTGAGATTGCACCGTGCACGACAAAAGTAATAATGTGTAAACTGTTGAAAATAAGTTAAAAGGAAACTTAAAATTGATAAATATAAATAATGCATGAAATTGAAGAAATATAAGAATTGATACAAACACCAACTTCTTGAACACCCTGACCTAATCCTGTATGATGATAGGTAATTGTATATCAAAAAGAAGCTACTAATACATTTATCCTGAATAGTTTGAAAATGTCTTGATCAGATATGAGTAAGATAAAATAACAAAAGATGAAAAGGAATCAACTTCAATTGGAAATCAAGCCAAGATAAAACATATGTATCGGTGCAATTATGTTGATGGAACAATCTGGATTTCTCATATTTAATAAAGAAAAACAAACCGAAATTTTCATTTCTTTATTTCTCACAATATTAGTTTACAAAACTTAACATGGATCGGGTGTCTTTGTCAGTCAAAAGCACCTAATTTAATTCCAGGAGAAAATAATTTTCTTGCTTGTAAACAAATGGTACAATGTACTTTTTTCCGTGTCTGATAAATATTGGCCATTTTGTTTCATGAGTGAATAAGGCTTTTCACTTCCTCGTCCTATTTAAGTGAAGTGTGACAGGAAGCACATGTGTTGATTGAATGAATATGGCTTTTCACTTCCTCGTCCTTTGACAGGACGCACATTGTAACCAGTGTGTTACTGTCAGCAGAAAGCTCCTCCAGACATCCATCACCGGATACTAGTACTTCATTGTGTTGACTTGCTGGAAATGAATAATTCAATAATATTGTAATAATATTTCTACTTCCATACATTGTTTTATAAACAATGCATATTCACCTTCTCTCAAAATATTGCTTATTTAGAAAACAACTTTCTTCTGAAATAGAGAAATTTAAGGAAAATTAATCACAGTGTGTTACATTACATGCTACTTTAGAACAATCTTAAAGGCATCAATTCATCTGATATGTCTAAAACGCAAACAGTATATTCTGTGTAAACAGTAAACACAACAGATGCATCAATTCAATTCAGCTCTTTATATCAATGTCACACAGAAATTCCCTTTTGTTTTAATATTTGTATTACCGGGATGTATTTAATCATGAAATACTTTGTTTAGCCCAACCATGCTGAAAACATACTTTCGCTAGAGTGAAATAAATAAGAGTTTGATTAAAATCAGGTGAAATATCACATTTTGTCACACCTACAGTCAGTCTGCCTCATTGACACTATGGTTTTCTGAGTAAGGTCATGAAGATCACAAAGAATATATAAGACTTGAATCTTTTTTGTCAAATGAAATGTTTATCTCTTCTTGTGGTTTACTAAAGTTGATATCTTGACTTGAACATATTAACTTTGTCAGATCACAAGATGAGATAAATTCATGCTACATGTCTCATCGTTATTTGACAAGGAAAACAAATTTCTTCCATGTTTTTATATATTTTTATATTTCTCGTTTTGATTGAATTATAAAAATTATTAAAATTATCACACCACTTGACTTGATTGAAATAAACTAAAGTTCTTAAGATTGTTAACAATAGTAAACTATTACATCATCAGAATATATTATAGCCTGCAACCTCGGGGTATCGCGGTACTTGTCATGTACGGAACAAAATGCACTCACTAACCTTTATGTTTATTCGTGTTCTCTGTATCAGATATCATTCATGTTATCAAACAATGCATATTTTATTGATAAAAGTTCATTATTTACATTAGTAGCTCCGAGTAAAACCCGGGCCTTGCGCTCAGTTTGATAGGGGAGAGAACTCCATCGTATCGCGGTACAGAGAAAAGTTGTGTATGGAGGTCCGAATTGGACAAAAAGAGGACATAATTCTACAAACCACTTAGTATGATCTTGCCAGATATCAGTGATTTTTCCAGACAAGTGCAAAGACAGCACAAGTAAAATTCTAAATGTGTTATCTGTAAAAGGTATTCAATGCATGTT